AAGGAACAGCCCCAGCCGGACATCGCCAATGTCTGGGCGCTGAGTCACCACGGCCCTCCTCTCCCTTCTCCTGACTTCGGAGTCCAGGGATTCGCCACAGTTAGCAAGCTGGCCTTTGTCAGAGGCACTCGGTCATTAAGTTTGCTTTTTCAAACAAGAATGTGGCCCTGACCGGTATGGCTGAATGGGCTGGGCATTGTCCGGCAGAGCAGAAGGTTTCCGGTTCGACCCCCGGTCCAGGCAGTTTGGGCGGCAGCTTCCGTCCCCCAGATGGGATGCGTACGAGGGACAACCAATAGAAGTTTCTCTCTCACATCAGTGTTTCTCCCTCTCTTTCTCCCTTCCTTCCCCTCTCACTAAAAGCACATAAATAAATAAAATCTTTAAGAATAAAACAATATGAAACAGATACACGGGAAGTTCTGCAGCAGGATGGGGGGAGAAGCCCGGGGGGCCGGGCAGACATAGCCCTTGTGCCACAAAGAGAGGCTGTCGGACTCCCCTGGCTGAGGTTTGGGTGGTGTGCGTGCTCAGCGGGGAGGCCGGGCAGACGAGGGGCTGAAGCCGCCAGCTCTGGGAAGGGAGAGGAGGCAGGGCGGTGTCTCAGGCCAACTTGGGGACTGTCATTTAGGAGAGGGAGAGGGTGCAGGGCCAGGCAGAGGGCTGGCTACCCTAAAAGGAAGAGCAGCCCCAGATTCGATTTCCACGACCCTTGGGGGAGGCCGCAGACAGCCCTCCCCTCGGGGAACTCCAGGGCAGAGCTCCAGGGCAGCCCCGGGGTGCTGGCGCCAGGACAGACCTCACCTGTGGGGACATGTCCATGGGGGGGACCCCTCCTTCCTGCCACCCTCCCTAGTGGGAACCGCCGTGGGTCCTCGCTGCAGAGGTGCTGCACATTCACCTCACGGTGGGGCTCCACCCACATCTCCTGCTCCGTCGGTGGCCGGCTCCTGCCTGAGGTGGAGCCGTGGCAACGGCACTGGCTGGAGACCGCCCACGTGCCGCACTATGAACTCCGCAAGGACCCTCTGTGCACCCGCAGTTCAAGGGCCACATCCAGGTCTCTCCAACAGGGTCCCAGCACCTGGCCTCATGCAGTTCGGTGGCTGAGTGCCTGAGCTGGGTCCTGAACCGGGTCACTCAACCCCTTGTGGGCGCCCTGGGGCTCTTACCCATCCAGGTCTGCACGGCAGCTGCCTGGCCACGAGCCTTCCTTCCAGGTGGTGCTGCCCTCGGGCTCTCAGGAGGGCACTGCCCCCTGGTGGCAGCGCCAGGCAAGGGGAGCCCAGCCAGCGTTTCCTGTCTCCACACACCAGGCCTAGGAGTGCCAAGTCCATGAGGTCCAGCCCCTTGTTGACCGATGGGGAAACTGAGGCCCAGAGCAGGCAGGGGCTTTGACAAGAAATGGAGCCCCTTCCCAGCCTCAAGGTGACTTCCCTGTGGGCTAGACAAGGGTCATGGACCAATGACCGGAGAAATAAGCGTCCCCGCAATGTTCCAGGATGGTTCGAGGGGTCCAGGGGCTGGGATCAGCAGGGCACACACCGCTGAAGTAGGTGATGTGGGCTGCGGGAGGGGACAGAGGGCAAGGAACCAATTTTTTTAAAACAGAGAGAGAGATGCTGGAATCAATGAGAATGAGAGGCCTGAGCAGGCAGCTCTCAAACAGGGAAGAAACACAGGTACAGGCCCTGGAGGCGGTTCTCCATCTGCCCACTGTTCTCATCCAGGGGTGGACACTGCCCTGGACGAGGCCTTGGACAGTTGGGGGTCACACGGCAGAGTCGTCCGAAGGAGCCACCTTGTCTGGGCCCTGAAGGGACGGACTCCTGGGGACGCTGCTCTGGCTGGCACTCCTGTCCAGCCCCAGGGGTGGCCCTGCGTGGGGAGGCCTGGGGCCCAGTAGGGTGGCACCGTTCTCTAGGAGGGTGGCCAGCTGGCCTTTGCTGCACCTCTGGGTTATGGTAAAGAGTCCAGGTTTAGAGTCTAACATTATCTCTTCCATCGCTCAGCTCACCTTGCCTGAGCCGCGTCGCCACTCCCAGCCCACGACTTCCTGGTAGCTGCTGACCCAGGCTTACTAATGCAGGTGTCAGGGTGTTTAATGGGAACCTGCTTGTCAAATACCGGTGATGACTCAGCCCACAGTGGAAATACAGGAAAAGAAGCCCTCCTGGGGCAGGAGACCCACATTCCAGCACCGGAGGAGGTTCCTGGGAGGCCTCAGACCCAGCCAAGCCTGCCCCCTACCAGCACAGAAACACACACTGTGTGCTTCTCCCCCACATAAAGCTGGGCCGGGTACCTGCTCCCCTTCCCAGCCCTGCGGGATTTACCCCGCAACCTCACCCCTCCCAGCTGGCTCAGGCCCACTTTCACACTCTCCTATGCCCTTAACAGAGAAGGGACCTGGAGGGTCAGGCCTCCAGCACCCAGTACTGCACTGGGAAACTGAGGGCAGTCCTCACCCCTACATACCAGCAAACAAAATAGTCCCTTTTATTTTTTAGATTTTAATTCAGATTACCAATAAGTAAATATAAAAGGAAAATAAATCCATTAAAATTTTGATATGAAAACATACAAAGCCTCTTTGTATTTGTCTCCGATGCGTTTGAAGCACAGACATCCGAAGAAGTCAGAGAGCCGTCCTGGGTCTTCTCGGTCACAGACGGTCCCCAGGTTAGTCGCAAAGTGTGCGAGCAGATCAGTCGCGCTGAGGGACTAGCGGGTAGGGAATGTGCGGTTCGCTTCATAACGCTGGAGTCTGGGACCTGTGCCTGAGACCTGGCCGTGGGAGACAGCGTCCTCCCCGTCACAGCCCGGGCTGCGCTGTCCCTTCCTCGGATTTTCGGTCCTCTGTGGGTTTTCTCTGCGGGTCCCGAGGGCCGTGGCACTTCGGGCCCTTCCCTCCTTGCCCCACTACCCACCCCCACCCCCACCCCCACCCCGGGAACCGCAGCGCCAGCAACATCAGCGCTGCGTCACCTCTAGGGGGCGCCGTCGTCCTTCTGTTTCCCTATTGTTTGCGTCATTGTGGGCAAACTTGGGGATCTTCGATGAGTAATGGGGAGGTGATCCCTGGGATGATGAAGTAGAAAACATCTCGGGACAGAGGGAAATAGGACGCGCCGGTGGGACTCTGTGACCCCGAGCCGGGCCGCGTTTAGGCTGCTTTAAAAAGACAAGTAACTGCTCTCTGGCTTCGGATGACCCGAAGGACAGAAGGCATGAAATGCGATCCTTAAAGTTAGAACCGCCCACCGGGTGAACGCTAAGAAAGGCGTCCGAAACCCACCCGGCGCGGCATCCCGTAGCCGCTAAGGGGTCCCGACGACCCCCGAGAGTTGTCCGGTTGGGGCGGGACAGGGCAGTCAAGCACGGAGCCCGACTGCCACACGCCCACCTGTGTCACATGACCAGCCCTGAGCAATCACAGTACAGCAAGCCGCGGCCTCAAAGTCAAAGATGAGCATGTGATTCGAACTGGCCAATCAGAACGCAGAAATGTCTACTTAAGGCAGAACCGGACACAGGTTTCAGGAAATAAGGGTGAATAGGTGGTGAGCGGTTTGGTATTTTTTGGTCGGGCCCCTAGTTGGGACGTAGGGACACCGCACAGCGGAGACTTACAATCTCAGCACTCCCGGCATTCCGGGAGAGTTTGAGTGGTTTCCCGAACAGGCTCACGGTGGTCGGAGATTTTCCTGCTTCTCCGAGGATGCGTGGGAACTCGAACCCGAGGCCTGAGCCGGGTCCCTGCGCCCGGGGCAGCAGGGGCACGTATGAGTCTGGGCCTTCCTTTTCCCACAGGACCGCCGCACAGTCGCACAGTCGCTGGTCCGAGGCCCTTACGACGTGACAACAACGGCCTTTGGGAGGAGCGTGAGGATTGTGAGTTTGAACACAGGTGTTTGTTGAGGTGCAGTGCACTCAGCCCAAAATTCGTTTTCAGAAGGTGCGCGGAGCAATGGCTTCGTGTATTCAGAGTCGTGCAACTATGCCCACACTAAATTTACAACAGTTTTTTCCATCACCCGGGAAAGAAATCCTGTACTCATCAGCCATTCCTCCCCATCCCCTTCTGCCCAGCCCCGGCCAACCGGTAATCCACTTCTGGTCACTGTAGATTTGCCTGTGTATGCACATACCACAAGTCATTCCTCGTTCATTTGAAGTTCAAGTTTAATTGGGTGTTCTGTAGTTTTCTTTGGTAAGTTTGCCCCCACCCCCACCCCCAAGGCTGGATATCCAAGCACCCTCACCTGGGGAGGGAGACCCTGGCATTGACCAGAGCCCAGGATCCCCTGCATGTAGAACACACTCACCTGCCAACAGATTTCCAAGAAAATGGGACTTCAAAAACACCAGGAAGCCGGGGGAGCTGTCCCTCGGCACAGCCCTCTTGGGAAGGTGCAAGGGCTCGGAGTACAATGCCAGGACAAGGTCAGGAAATGAGGGGATTTTAGGCCTCTCAGTTCCCCAAAGACCTCATAGGAAATGTTTTTTCCACATTGTCCCTTTTTCCATGCTTTGTAGATCTCTATATTTAAAAACAGTTCTACAGGGTCTGGCAGATGTAACGCCTGCTAGAATGTGGTTGGTAGGATGATAATATGGATGTAATAATTCATAGTTTTAATTTGAACATTTCACCTGAATGTCATATGGTGAGCTTGAGTTTGATATTGTTATATTGCAGAGTTACATGCTTATGATTTTGTAAGAAGAGATTTTGTAATAAAAAAGGGGGCACTCTGGCAGGGGTGGATGGAGCTCTGGCCTGCAAACTGAAAGGTCACCAGTTTAATTCCCGGGGAGGCACATCCCTGGGTTGCAGGCCAGGTCCCCGGTTGGGGGGTGTGAGAGGCAGCTGCTTGGTGTATCTCTCACACATTGCTGTTTCTCTCCTCTTTCTTCCTCCCTTCCCCTCTCTCTAAAAGTGAATAAATAAAGTCTAAAAAGCTTTTTTTTTTAAAAAAAAAAACGGGGGTGTTATTTGTCCTGGAGCTTGTATTTGTGTTTCTTAAATCACTGCGTTTCCCAGCCGCCTCGCTCCCGTCTGGCCCAGGCAGTGCTCTGATGGGCACAGGGGCGCTGACAAGCAGCGGTGCCCCAAGTCTGTGCTTCTTGGCCGAGTCCAGGGAGGACTGGTGGTTGGCATCTCACAGCCAGTCTCTGAAGGGATGAGATAGTGGGAGGCTGCCATCTGGTTCTGATTTGACTTTCACCCTGAGACCTCTGCTTGGGGGGAAAAAATCACAGTGTTTCAGTTCGATGCTGGTGTTTCTGGGCAGTTCTGCTCCCCCTGTACCCATAGCTCTGGCCTTGCTTTGCCCTGGATGGAGGCCCTGCGGGGGTGTGGGGTGTGGGGAGGGGCTGTGGCTGGTGCCTCCCTTCCCTGCCCCCTTTAACAGAGGAGTAGACTGAGGCTCAGAGGCCTTGCCAGCTCACCAAAACCAGGGGAAGCTTGCGGACTAGCCTGCCCACTTTACAGTCGGCTTCCTTCTTTCTCTGAGAGTCAGGTCATGCCTCGGTCACGGACCCTGAGCATGATTCACAGGTGCCAGGCCCTCTCTGGTTTCATCTATTTATATAATATTTTGCTCATTCATTCCCTGCTCCTGTTCCTCTGACCCCACAGGCAACCCTTCAGATGGGTTTTGTGTGCTTGAATTCTTTCCATCTCAAGGGATGGCAGATTTAAATACTTAAGATTACTAACAAACAAGGAATGATGGGGAAGATCTTTAACTTGTGACCACAGTCAGGATCCTACAGCAAAATAAATAAGGAAATAAATGTTTAAAAAATTATTTTTCAAGTAAACCTATTTTAGAACAGTTTTACATGTTGGTAAAGTGTGAAGATAGTACACAGTCCCTACCAGTCCCCACCCCCGGCATCCAGGGTCTCCCGGACATCTCACACAGGGTGGGGCCCTTGTTACAATGCATGAGCCAGTCCTGATACATTTTTTTTAACCGATGTCCACACTTTACTTCTTCAGTTTTACAACCTATTGCTGCTCTTCTGGGCAGAACCTCCCCTGATGAGTGGGTGGCGGGACTCCGCGGGCTGCTGGGGGCGACGGCTGCCGCTCAGGCGGTGCTGAGCGCTGGGCGGGGCTTGTGCAGACTTCCCTGCGCTGAGACCTGAGTGCCGGTTGTCTCAGCATCGGTGTGGCCTCGTGGGCTGGGGCAGGGAGACCACGGAGGCAAGGCGCCCTTGTCAGTGGTCAGGTCAAGGTCCTGCTCTCAACACGAGTCACGGCGATGTGACCTTAGTCACCTGGCTGAGGCGGTTTCCAGGTGTTCCCGCTTGTCATTCCCTCCCTTATGTTTTCTCAGGGAGAAGGTTACTAAGCACGTTCACACCTTACAGAGCAGGGAGCGATGCCTTTGTGAAGAGCGGAGCAGGGCAGAGGAGGGCAGAGCAGCTCCGTAAATTACTTGACATTCTTCTGCATGGGACATTTGTCTCGTCTCCCCTTTCTCTACTTTTTCGATCATTTATAGGTTAGTATGAATGAATAGATACCCACCCTTATACTCTGGGTTTCAGCCCGACACTGTTATTTATGTATTTCGTTTAGACTATTCCAGCTTCAGCTCCAGGGAGCCCCTTCCCTGTGTGTGTCCCTTTAACGCAGCCGTCTTGTTGTGGGCCATTGTTGCTGTTTGATTTTGTTTTCAAGCACTTCTTTACCTTCTGGCTGTACTTGTGAGCTCAGGACCCCATAACAGGACCACAGGGCTCGGTCCAGGACAGGGGTGTCTCTGCCCGAGCCGCACTGACATTTGGGGCCCACTGTAGCAGCACCCCGACCTCCGCCCACAATGGCCAGCAACTCCCCTCCCTGTTGTGACCGGGTGGGGCGGGGGACACTGCCAAATGCCTCCCGCAGCTCCACCCCAGCTGAGACCCCTGGTTGCTACCGGCCTGAGCAAGCTTTCTGGGACAATGGAAACGCTCTGCTTGCCGTCTAACCCAGGCGGCCCGAACCCTCGGGACACGGCTAGTGATGCAAAGGAGCTGGGTTTTCACTCTCACTTGTTCAATTAAGCTAAACAGCCACGAGTGGCTAGCAGCCGCCTCTGGAGCAGGCGCCTGTCAGGGCTGGAGCCCAGCCTGAGCCTGGCCTGCCCCTGTCTGGCTGCTGGTGGGCTGTTGCTGACAGGCATGAACTCACATTTCCGTCTCCATCCTGGTGTGGGTGAGGGACGCCTGCCTCTGCCCCATTAGTCATGGGGTTGGCACAGGGCACCCAGAACCTGAAAGGCTGCTCTTCCCGACTCCCACCGATCCCTTCCTCCAGCCAGAGCGTAAGCCTGGGTGACTGGCATTTCCCGGATTTTCCTGGGCCAATAGTTGGGCGCTAGCTGTGGGAGACACACACACAGGCAAGCACCTATGCACACTGCCTTTCACCCTTGGGAGACCCTCCGGGTCCCACCAGGGGCCCTACATGCTAGCCCCCTCCTACAGGCCAAGGTCATTCCTCCTTCAGATCTCAAAGAAAGGTCACCTTCCTGTGGAAGCTGACAGAAGCCACGGACCACAGTCCAGTGCCCACATGGTCTGGAGTCTGACCACAGTCCTTGCCCATGGTTGGCCTGTCCGTCCTAAACCCCTGGACAGAGACTTGGCTGGTGAATTTTGTTAATTAAATGGGAATAATCATTACTGCTGGCCCCACCCCTCAGCACACAGACTCAGGTCCTAGGGCCAGGGGTGGCCTCAGGTCCCGACCCCAGCAGATCTGAGCAAGAGAGGACTGTCCAGCCTGGGCACCATCCGCTGCTCTGCTGGCAAACATTGCTGCTGCCAGCTGTGTGAGGACTGGGTGCTGAGCAAGCACACAGCAGCGATATGGTCGGTTAGCGTCTACATAGCACTAACTTGTTTCCAGGACGCTCTGTGGTGTGTGAGTGTGTGTGTGGTGACTTCCTAGCCTTCTGCGCAGCCCTCGGGGTCTCGTGCTCATCCCTGTTTCACAGATGAGAAAACAGAGGCACAGGGTGACCGAGTTACCTGCCCCAGGTGGCACAGCAGGCAGCAGAGCAAGGATGGAAACTTGGGGACCTGACCCCTGAGCCCCGCCCCCCAGCCACTGCCTTTAAAGGTGCCCCCCTCCACTCCTGTTCAGATGTGTCTGTTATTCCTGTGCATCATGGGCATCAGTTCAGTGTCCTTCACTGAGGATGGGGGGGGGCAGAGGGAGCTTAGCTGAGCAAAGGCGGGGCACACACCTTGCACGAGGACAGGGCAACATGCGCAGAGGCCCTGGGCAGAAAATGAATGCACTCGGGGAACTGCAGGCATTCCTGGCGTGGTGGGGACCCACTGAACCCCAGCATGGAATCTGGGTTCAGTCCCCGAGGTTGATCTGTGTTTTTTTTAACATACAGTTCAGTTGTTTTGTTTTTTTTTAAGATTGTATTTGTTTATGTTTAGAGAGAGGGAAAAAAAGGGAGAAAGAGAGGGAGAGAAACATGGATCTGTTGCCTCCCACACATCCCTACTGGAGACCTGGCCCTCAACCCAGGCATGTGCCCTGACTGGGAATCAAACCAGCAACCTTGGTGCCTCAGCATGATGCCCTAACCCAGTGAGTTACCAGGCCAGGGCCTGAGGTTTTCAAAAATGAATTAAAATTCCCATAACATAAAATTCACCATCTTAACCATTAAAAATTGTTTTGAATTCTCATCCAAGGACTTTTTTTTTTTTTCTTTTAGAGAGAGAGGAAGGGAGAAAGAAACACCCATGCCAGGGAGAAGCGTCGCTTGGTTGCCCAGACCAGGATCACACGCACTTGGGCCAGAACTGGGCATCAACCCACAACTGGGTATGTGCCCGAGCAGGGATGGGACCAACTGACCCACACCGGCCAGGACTGTTTTAAAGTGTGCAATTCGGTGGCTCTTGTGCATCCCTGAGGCTCTACAATCATCACCTCTGCCACGTTCTGGAAAGTGTTGGTCATCCCAGAAGAAGGGCCCAGGGCCCATCAGCTCCAGCCTCCTCCCCAGCTCCCAATCCGATTTCTGTTTCACACAGATTCTGTGCCTGTAAAGCGTGGACCTTTGTGTCTGGCTTCTGTAATGTTTTCGAGAGTCATTCACCTTGTAACTTTGGTGCTTCATTCCTTTCATGGCTGGGGAATAATGATCCCACTGTATGGACTGGCGGTACTTTGATTATCTATTCGCCCATTTGGGAGATTTGGGTTGTTTGTACTTTTGGCTGTCGTAATAGGATTACATATAGTAAATTATAAAACGCTGCTCTGAACACGTGGGTTCAGTCTCCAGACAGATGGGAGGCTGGCTGTCCTGGCCTCGTTCCTTGAAACCCCGGTGGCTTCCCCTTCACCCTTCAGGTCTGACACCAGACCGGAGGGAGTGTCCTTCCTTCGCCCCAGGTTCGAGTGTGCAGGACGTCGGGGTTCTTCAGCACCAGGCCAGGGTGCACACCTGTGTCCCAGCCTGTGTCACTCTCTCCAGGCGCTAGCCAGGTCGGAAAACCCGCTTCCTGCCGCGTACGAGGGCTGGGGTCCAGGGAGCCTGGAGGGGCAGGCTCGGCCCCCTTTTACCCTCTAGCAAAGCACGATGCCCGCAGGCCTGTCTCGGATCTTTTGTCAGGATCCGCTGGTTTCCCACAGGCCTGCGTGGGCAAACGTAGAGTCCGCACACGGAAAGGAGCCCGGCGGAGGCAAGAAGGAGAAGGGACGGGCCCGGGGGTCCGGGGGTCGCGCGAGGACACTTCTACGCGCTCGCCCCGCCCCGCGCCGCCCCTCCCCGCCCCGCCTTGCGGGCAGCGCGACCCCGCCCCTCAAGCAGCGTGGCCCCGCCCTTCTGGGTTGCTAGGGGAAGTGACGTCACAGCGCGATGGCGGCGGCTCCTTCAGGCAGCTGAAGGGGGATTTAGGCCCGGAAGATCCGAGTCCATCCGCGGCGGGGAGAGGGCGAGCGCGGCCTTCGGGGGCCGGAGCAGGGGCGGCGGCGCTCGGACTGTCCCATCCTCCCCGTATTGTGGCGCTGGGCGCGGCGGGGCGGCCGGAAAGCGATGGTGAAAGCAGGGCCGTGAGGGGGGCGGAGCCGGCAGCCGGACCCGCAGTAGCGGCAGGAGCGGCGCCGCCTCCCCGAGTTCAGACTCAGGAAGCGGCAGGGAGGGCAGGAGCGAGCCGGGCCCGCCGCCGCCATGGAGCTCAGAGTCGGGAACAGGTACCGGCTGGGCCGGAAGATCGGCAGCGGCTCTTTCGGAGACATCTATCTCGGTGAGGCGTCCGTCCCCCAGGCTTGGAGCCGTCCCCGACGGGCGATCGCTCGGCTCCGACGCGGGGAACCGGGCAGGCCCCCCCCCCGGGACACTCCGGTCCCCGCGGCCCCCGCTCCGGCCTCAGGGCCCCGCGGTTGCCAGACAGGAACTTGCGGTCCTTCTGGGTCGGCCCGCGCCGCCGCCCCGGGGACACCTGCCCAACGTGTGCCCCGGGCCGCCGGGGTCGTCCCGGGACCCCGCTACCCGCGCCGGCGCCCCGCAGACGGACAAAGGCGGCGGGCGGCGCGCGGCCCCGCGTCCTGCGCACGTGTGGTGGGCCGGGAACGCCCGAGCCGGACGGAGGCAACCGTGGCCCCCGCTGCCCTTGGCGACGCGGCCCGGGGCCGGTCCAGCGGGGGCCGAGGACGTGTTGCGCATCCAGGTTCCGCTCCGGGTTCCTGGACTCGGAGCGCCGTTGGCGCCCGCAGTCTGGCCCGGATCTCGGCCGCAGTGGACAGAGACGCTGGGCCGCGCTGCCCTCGCGAGCTTGTCCCTGTGGCTGCAGTGAGGCTGTCGGGCTGCCCTGTTTGCGGCGGGAATGTTCTGGGCTGTTTCCGATTCACGGGGGGCAGGCGCAGGTGTGACGCGAGGCCGGCTGGCACCTCCAGGCCGGGCGTTCAGGAAGGCTGCCTTTCTCGGGAATTGTGTGCGAGTTGCCCCGCCCCCCGCCCCCCCTCCAGGGTCCGTCCAGCTGGCCCGCAGGGCGGCTGCGGAGGGACTGCTGTTGCGCAAGTTAGGGGGTGAACTTATCCTGAGGTTGCGTTTCGTTGGCCGGTATACCTACCAGGAGGGGCAGGACCGGCCGGGTGCAGTCCGCCTGCCGCTGGGTGTGCCGTGCAGTCGGTGGGGCGTGTTCTCCGGCCCCCCTCCTGTCACCCGTGGAGCGCCGGCCTCGCCCGGGTGGGAGTTCACTGCTTTTGGTTCCTCCTTCCTGACCCTGCAGGGCAGCCCCATCCCAGGCGACAGTGTTGCCTTTGAACTGCTGGACTTCCGCCTGCCATCCTGCTCAGTAAAATACACTTTGGAATTGTTCGGATTTTACTGTTTAAATATTTATGTTCAACAGTCAGTGGCCGCATCCTTCAGCACCGTTTTGGGAGGCAGAGTGCTGCGTAAATGCGAGCTGTTTGCCTTACTTACAGAACAGTGGGTTTTTGGCAAAACTTTTAACGTGGGATCTGGGAGCTGGACTGAAAAGCTGTGAGCCACCCTTACGCAGACATCAAAAGTGGACAGTTGGAAGTGTATTGTGCTCTGGTCCGAGACTCTGCTGGGCAGCTCTTGGCTCCAGAAGCTGGGTGCAGATCGTTGAGCCACGAGCTCTTTGTCAGGAGTGGGACCCTGTTTGCTTGTCCTCCAGCCTGCCTTTGGGCCTGCACTCTTGCCCTGCACACAGCGCCACTTGGTAGAGACCAGGCAGCCAGGTGTTCGAGTGCCTAAGGCAGGTGGGTGGACCGTGGCTCTCCCACTGCCGTGGTAGCTCCTGCACGGGCCAACCGTTGGGACTGGGTAAGCAGGCTGGCCCTCTTGTACCACGCTGACTCAGCTCTGTGCTGGCTGGAGTGAGTTCTGGCTGCGAAGATGGGTCTGTGAGTGCTCCCTGCACACTGTAGTTCAGGGTCAAAGGTGAGGTCCAAAGGGCATGGGGCGGGCCGAGTCACATGTGCCATAGTTGTGGGGTTTTTTGCTGGTTTAGGCCACTGGTTGGGCTACTTAAGGGGTTGAGTCTTCACCTTGAAAATGGGCATGTCCTGTCATTCTCTGCCATCACTTTGCAGTTGGTCAGGGTGCTCTTGACTCTTCCAGGTAGGGCTACCATGTACCCCGGAGTGTGTGGTCTCAATCCTCAGTTTGCCTCTCCTAAGCGTCACAGGTCCCAAAGGCTCCTGGGAGGGCCCAGCCCTCAAGCCCTCGCACAGTGCTCACACAGCAGGAGGCCGCCGTCCCTGTCACCCCAGGCCCCCCTCAGCCCCGGCCCCCACATGCTTCAGTCCCTGGTGTGCCAGGGGCCACAGGACAGCCTCTCACTTTGCTGGCAGGGCACCTCCCACGTTGGCTAGTGTGGAGGAACAAGGGCAGGGCCAGTGTTCCCAGTGTGACCAGAGGACGGGGGTGTGGGGGGTGGGATGCTCGGGGTGGCGTTCGGACACCCAGGCTGTGTGACAGTGCCCTGGTCGGCACAGGTGCTGCTGGGAGTTCAGCCGTGTGGGGCACCCAGCCCCTCGGGGGCAGCATGATCCCCCTCCTCACGGAGCTCTGTCCTCCCTGCTGTCTGTGTGCTGGAACCGCACCCTGCGGCTCCGTCGGGTGAGCAGAGGACCTGGCAGCGTGCACAAAGACCTGGTTTGGGTGCCGCGTTTAGGGACCTCTTCAAACCTGATTCTCCTGCCCTGCCTCGCAGGTTTTGATGCTCCTGCGGAGCTCGTGGGAGGGGCTCCACGGCACTGGCCGCCCAGGCGGAGGGGAGGGCAGCCCCTTGCCCTCTGCAGCTCCGGTCATCTCCCGTGTTCTTGAGGGTGGGGCATGAGTGCTCCAGCAAGAAGTCAGGGCGCTGACTCCGCTGCCCTGCCAGCACTTCGCTGTGGGTGGCCTTTGCCCTGCTGTCCTGAGGCATCTCCCTGTTTCTTCACAGTGTCACTACTCAGTGACAAGTTACCTCCCTGTCCCGGACTGGGGTTGGTTAGGTTCACTGAATTTACTGTCCGCCTCGCCTACCCAACTCGAGGGGCCCAGTCCCGTCTCCCTAGAACCAGCACTGGCCCGTGTCTGAATGCAGGTGCCTGTCGTGTCCTGAGGGCAGGTTTGCTGCCCAGGAGCGGGGGTGCTCTGGGAGCCACAGCACCAGTGTGAACAGACCCGGTGAGGAGCCACTGATGGGCTGCTGGGCTTTGACTTGTTCTGAGTCTGGAGCCAGAGCTCAGTGCTACCTTCAGTTCATTTAGGGGCACTTCTGGGTGTGTGTGTGTGTGTGTGTGTGTGTAGCGTGAACTTTTATAAAAAAGCTATTCATTTTTAGATAGAGGGAAAAGGAAGGAAAGAGGGAGAGAAACATCAGTGTGTGGTTGCCTCTACTGGGTACCCGGCCTGCAACCCAGGCATGTGCCCTGACTGGGAATCAAACCCGGGACCCTTCGGTATCCAGGCCGACGGTCAGCCCACCTGCCACACCAGTCAGGGCCAGAAGTACTTCTAAAAGTTACCTGCCATGAAGCCCCAGGTTTTGTAATTCCCAGTGTGTCGCAGGCTGGCACTTCGAGTGAGATGAAGATGTTGGCGGCAGTGCCACGTGGTGGGAGCCCTGCTGTGCGGCCTCCTGCACTGGCAGCCGTTTGAGGACAAGCCTTGGAGCAGCAGCGCCCCTGAGCACGGCGTTGCCGGGGGTGTGGGAGGTGGGGCAGGGCTGCAGACGGGTGGCCCCGTTTCCGTGGCACGTGCACACCTGCGGTTCTACTGCTTGGTTCTTCTGCCCAGTGGACACATTTCTCTGTGTGTGTGGCAGAGAGCCCATGTGCAGCCCTTCTCCTCGAGTCGTTACATGGGGGCGACTGTCATGCCTGCCTTCGCAGGTGTGCCCGGGGGGGGGGACTGGCACCGCGCCTGGAGGAGGGAATTGTCGTGTGCTCTGAGCTGCCTGTGGCCTGTGTCCCGCACACTGTCACTGTGCAGGTTCACTGTTCTGTGCTGGCTTTGTCAGCCCCAGTGAGTGAAGCTAGCAGTGCTTTTGCCTTCTGGAAGGCGTGAGCCCAGAAGATAGCCAGCCTGTACAGGACCGTGCCTTCTGTTCGAGGAGGGCCTAGTCCCAGCCTGGGTGACACGGATGAGCACGTGGAGTGCTGACGTCACTGGTGAGATGAGTCATCCACTCTTGCAGGGCGGCGAGTTCAGGTCAGAGTTACAGGCCCTCACAGGGACTCTGAGTTCATTTTTCATTTGCGCAGTAAATTTTGTGGTGAAGTCACCTCTCGAAATTGGATAGCGCGTGCCAACTGCAGGCAGGCGTGTCTGTCTCTCAGAGCCCAAGAGTCTCGGCACGATGGGCAGCGGAGCCCTTGGGCCCCGAGGGCCTCTGGCGGTGGTCGGACACTGGGTGTCCCCACTGCACCCGGCACTGGGGACCAGTTTTGGAGTCAGGCCTGCTGCGAGTGACCGCATCCCATGTATTCATCCGAGCTGAGGAGAGGAGACTGTTCTCTCTGGGGTTCTGGGGCGTTCCCTGATGTCAGTGTCAGTGCTTGCTGCCTCGTGTGCCTTTCATCTGAGAGTTCCAGTGTGCTTTGTGACCACTACCCTGTGGGTCTCCACATTCCCTCCTGAAACTCACTGCCATCCTGCTGTCTAAACAGAGATGGCGAGGAACCGAATCGCCAAGGACCGGGGGACGGAAGTGTCCCGGTTCTGTCTGGGCTGCTGGAGCCAGTGGTCGCTGCTTCACAGCAGCCACACTGCTGGGGCAGTCACAGTGCTCGCACCTGGAGGGCTCCTGTGGGGAAGGCCAGCAGGGCCGGGGTCTGCGCCGTCATCACCTGCAGGCAGGTCCTGCCACTGCTGTGGGCCAGATGGGGACTCCTGAGTGCTTGTGTGGGGGGGTGGAGGGTGGTGGGGGTGTCAGGTTTGCAGGTCATTAAGGGGAGAAAACAGATAAAATACTTGTAGCCAAAAGCTTCTGATTTTACCTTTAAGCTCACAGGGTGATGATTGAGAGGTAGGTATTAGCAGACATATTATCAGTTTTAGTACAAAACTAACAAAATGTGTGACAGGTAGGGCTTTGAAAATGAGTTTACCCTCCTGGTTTAGTGTCACTAATAAATGCAAAGTGATGTCCTATTGCTGAGATCCTCCCCCTGCTCCGAAGCTGTGTCCCTTGGTCTGGCCTGCCCTGGGTTAGTGAGGAGTGTCGTGCCCTGGAGCTGAGCCTGCTTTGTTCAGGGTGGGCTGTGGCTGGGTCCCTAGATTGGGGAGTCTGAGGCTGTGTGGTGTTCGGTGAAGACCCAGTCTTTCCTGTAGAGAAAGGCGCATGCACACACAGTTCTGTCCTGGCAGTGTCAGGGAACACAGGTGATGTCGCAGGGACACACGGAGTCACCCTGGGGCTGACCGATGGGGTGCTAGGAAGGTTAGGAGTGGGAAATGTGGGAGGTTGCAAAGAGAACCCCTTGGCCTTCTCTGGGTCCCCTAGTGATGTGCACCCATTGGACACATGCAGAGGTGGGTGATGGACAGCAAATTAGACTTCCCCACATGTGTACATGTATGGAACTCCTCGCTGGGAAAGGGGGCAGAAGGAGGGTGACTTTCCATGGGGTCTGTGGACCACTGACACCATCTCATGGCAGGCGGAGCGTGACCATCCCCTGGTGCTGCTTGGAAGGTTGGGACCCAGCTTCTGTTCCTGGCATGTCGCGACTTTGGGTTAGGTGGGCACCAGGCAGTAATGCTGTGCTTTTCTTTCTTTGCAAGGTACGGACATTGTTGCAGGAGAAGAAGTTGCCATCAAGCTTGAATGTGTCAAAACCAAACACCCTCAGCTCCACATTGAGAGCAAAATCTACAAAATGATGCAGGGAGGAGGTATGTTCAAAAAAACAGCTGGGGTGGTTTGATGGGGGCATGCTTCCTGAACCAGAGTCTCAGGTTTGTTTTGGGGAAGGGAGGGAACGGCCTGCACCCTGGACCCACACGCCGGTGGTCCTGCAGAGGGACTTGCGCAGCAGAAAGATGCTGCCTTCTTCCCCTGCCTCACATGGCAGTGCCTGCCTTCAGGACCGGCGGGAGCTCTGGTGCCCCAGCATGCCCGGTCATGGGTGCCAGCTCAGAGCCCTGCTTTGCTTGCAGCTCGGGGGGCGGCAGTGCCTTCAGACTTGTCTTGAGTGCAACAACTGTGACCCCTTATGACTCAGCCACTGTCCCAGGTCTGTCCCTAAGTCTGCCTGATGTCCGAGGGCACCCATCCTGATCTCAGAGTCTAACTTGTAGAATTCGTTGGACTTTGAAATCATCTCACTAACAGAGCAGGGGGGCATGTTTTGGTGGGGGTCTCAGTTTTGGAGATGTTGCAGCGTGTAGAGGGCATGGCCAGAGCTCCAGGAGGGACCTGGACCCCGCCCCATGGGAAAGAGAGCTTCCTCCTGGAAGCCTGGGGGCGGGGCCCAGAGCTTCGGCTCCAGGCCCCTTCTCTCTGGGTTTGGTCTGCTGCTGGGAACCGGCGTCAGGAGACCACTGAGAGCAGCACAGCTGGTCCTGGGACCCTGCACAGGGATGTCTGTGCATCCTATCCTGTGTCTCATGGGACCATAAAAGCTCTTGTCCAGCTCTTGTCATCCAAGGGAAGGTTGGCAGAGGACCCAGCCAGGGTGCTTGCCTGCCAGTGGCCTCAGCAGAAGGCAGCTTCTCAGATGCACTTTGAAGGTGGTGACCAGTAGAACAAGGTGACTCAGGATGTGGTCTTCACGGTGGGCAGGAGCCTTAGACTGAGGGTGGAATCAAACCTCCCACTGAGAAGCCTTGTCTACTTTCAAGAAACAGCATCTCTCTGAGAACTCCCAGGCCAGGGCACCCCTGTCACTGGCTGTCGCTGGCTGTGGCGCCTTGTGGCAGCACCCTCCCCCGGGGTGGGAGGGTCAGGAGTGTCTACAGGTATGGCTGATGGTACTTCTCCTCTGAACCCTGCTGGGGGAGGTGCAGTGCCCCTCCTCCCGGGCCACCCCTCTGGGACCCTGCCGTCCCCACATGGATTGGGATGCACACTGGAGGGTGCTGTCCAGGTGTGAGGTATGCTCTAGAGAATGACTGTGCCCGGAAAAGCAGAGCACACCATTCTGGGAGCTTCTGTGAACTTGTCAACCGAGAGCAGGCTGGGCCTGGCAAAGCTGAAGGCGGAGTCCTCTTGGCAAGGAGAGAGGGTTCTGCAGTGGACCAGCCTTGTGCGAGGCGTTGCCTGTGGGGGCTGCAGGCTGCTTGTGTCACTGCTGGGGACAGCGAGTGCCCCACTGCTTCTCTGTCTCTGCGAGGTTGTGGTCCCCCTTGCAGCTTGTGAGTGCCGACAGCTACTGCTCAGGTGATGGTGGCATGGTACCTGGGTGGCCGGGGGACAGTCCCTATGATGTCCGTGGAGAGGGGTTGGGTGCACACATATCAGTGTCAGGGATTGCTAGAAGTGTGGGTTTTTTAAAGTTATTCATTGATTTTAGAGTGAGAAACATCGATTTGTTGTTCTGCGTACTGATGCATTGATTGGTTGATTCACGTGTGTGCCTTGAACCCACAACCTTGGTGTATCGGGATGACACTCCAGTCAACTGAGCCTCCTGTCCAGGGTGGTACGAGTCAGTTTTTAGGACAGATCTGGTCCAAAATAAAAAATTGGGAACAAGGACAAAAACAAGAAAAGGTGGCTTGGGACCCACATTGCAAGCCTGTGTTTTAAGTCCTTTGGCCACCTAGTGGTTGGTCACCAAAGCAGTGATGGGAAGGTCTAGGGCCCCTACAGGGAAGGGGGCACCAGTGGGGGTGCCAAGAACACACGTTGGGTCAGACACACGTTGCCCATTCCAGCATGCGAGTCCCAGTGTACAAACTCGAACCCTTCTCTCCGTAGCTCCCGCGATGCCCACAGCCATGTGGGTGCCACAGGGAGACCTCGCTTGTGCTCTCCTGGCACCAAAGTGGAGCAGCCCAGCCTTGTGAAAGGTTAAGGGTTTGGGTCCTTGTTTCGCACAGCCGCCCTGGCAGCTTGGGAAGGGTGCAGAGGTGTCCTTAAAGCGTGTTCTGGCCAACTCACGTTTCTACAGATGCTCACTTGAGCCCTGTTGTGCTGGGAGCTCCAGCCCTGCCCAGGCCGGTTGGGGAGCAGCGGGTCTATGCCTTGCTCCTCACCCCCACACCCTCACCTGCCCTCGTGTCCACGCGCATCCCACCTTCCTGGAGGAGGTCCAGTCCTGGTGCCCTGAAGGGGCGAGGCCAAGAAGCCAGCTCTGTTCTGCGGCAAACTGAGGTGGTTGGTGGGCTGTGCTGTCTGATAGGTAGTCTCCATGGTGACAAGATGACGTATCCCTGCTCTGCAGGCCCTAACAGCTGCCGACTCGGCCCTGACATTGCTCGTGGGCCTGAGAACAAGCAGCACAGCGACATTACACCCGAATATTTGTAGCAGGAAAACTGTTAAAATGCATGAGGTGCATCGTTCAAACACAGCCTGTGCCGTTGGCCTGGGAGCGTGGGACCAGGTAGCAGCTACCCTGGCGAGCAGCACTTGGGTGCCTTTTCCTAACTACACCCCAAAAGTAGGTTTGGAGGAGGCCAGGGTGGGAAACCCTGCCTCACCCAAGACCTTCGGCCCCCGAGTGCAGGGGCTGTGCTCAGGCAGTGAGCTGCTCCTGCTTCACCTTTTCCCTGGGCCGCTGGGAAGGTCCTTGTCATCCAGTCACGTTCTTTTTGTTGTAGTTCGATCACAGTTGTCTCCACCCTGCACACCCCCTGTTCCCACAGTCAGTCCCCAACCCATTGTCCATGCCCATGGGTCCTTTATACATGTCCCTTCACTGGACCCTTCCCCTTTCCTCTGTTGTCCCCCTCCCCCCTCCTGTTGGTGACTGTCAGTCTGCTCCTTGTTTCCATGCCTCTGGTTCTGTTTAGCTCGTTCATTTTGTTGATAAGGTTCCACTTGCAGGTGCAATCACATGGTACTCACCTTTCACCACCTGGCTCGTTTCTCAGTTCCCTCCACGCGGTTTCGAGGGGCAGGAGCGCTCTCTGCTGCGGTGTCCTGTCTCGTGGGTGCGGCGCGGTTTCTGACCTGCCTGTTGACCGAGGGGCACCGCAGCTGTTTCAAGCACTTGGCTGTTGGGAACTGTGCTGCTCTGAACGTGGGGTGCATAGGCTCTTTGGGGTTGGTGTTTCAGGGTCCTGGGGGTGTAATCCCTGCAGTGGGATCGCTGGGTCAGTGGCAGTCCCATTTCCAGCTTTTGAGGCAAGTCCACACTTTTTCCACAGTGGCTGCACCAGTCTGCATCCCCACCAGGGGTGCACTGGGGTCCCCTCTTCTCCACGTGCTCACCACCACTTCTGTTTGTGCTGTCGAACATTCTCACCGGTGTGAGGTGGCATCTAGTTGTGGTTTTAATTTGCATCTCTGTTGGCTAGTGATGCTGAGTGTGCTGTCATGTGTTTCTGGGACCTCTGTATGTCCTCCCTGGAGAAGTGTCTGTTCGGGTCCTTTGCACCTTTTTTTCATTGGATTGTTTTCCCGGTGTTGAGTCGTGTGAGGTCTTCATATGTTGTGGAGTTCAGACCCTGTCTGAGGTGTCATTGGCGGATGTCTTCCTCCACAGTAGGTTCCCTTTGTATTCCGCTGTCTTCTTTAACCATGTAGAGGCTTTTTTAATAAAAAGATTTCATTTATCTATTTTTAGAGAGAAGGGAAGGGAGAAGGAAAGGGAGAGAAACATCGATGTGTGGTTGCCTTTTGCATGTCCCCCACTGGCGACCTGGACTGCCACCCAGGCATGTGCCCTGGTTGGGTATCAAACCAGCAACCCTTTGGTTTGCAGGCTGGCGCTCAATCCACTGAGCCACAGCAGCCAGGGCAGCCGTGTAGAAGCTTTTTAATTCGGTGTATTCCAATTTGTCTGTTCTTCCCTTTATGTCCCGCGTCCTAGGAAATATCGATATCAGCAAAAATGTTGCTGTGTGGGATGTCTGAAATTTTACTGCTTGTGTTTTCCTCTAGGACTTCTGTAGTGTCATAGGTAACATATTTAAGTCTTTCATCTGTCTCGAGTTTGTTCTGATGTGTGGTGTAAGTTGGTAGTCGGGTTTCATTTTTTTGCATGTACCAGGACAGTTCTCCCAACGCCATTTATTAAAGTGGTTACTTTTACTCCATTTTATGCGCCTTCCCTTTTGTCAAATATTAATTGACCGTAGAGACTTGGGTTTACTTTTGGGCTCTCTATTCTGTTTCATTGATCTATGTGTCTGTGCTTATGCCAGTACCAGACTGTTTTGATTACAGTGGCCTTGTAGTATAGTTTTTATATCAGGTATTGTGATCTTTCCTACTCATATTCTTTAACAGGAAAACAATTTCTCTATCCAGGCCACTTTCAAAAACTGGAGCTTCTGGGAGGGGAGAGTCTGATACAGGTTTTGGGGGGGTTCCCCAAAGCCCTCAGGTTGCTTGCACAGAGTGTGGTTTGAGTGCCTCTGCCTCCCTTCCAGGAGGGAAGAGGGGGTGATGCTGTGGCTCCTGGCCCGACGGCAGTGTCCACCCTTCCTTGCTCCGTCCACACCCCTTGGAACCCCACTGTTGGGCAGCTTCATGGGACACGGCTGTGGCTCTCTCCCTCCCCAGAAGCGGGCTGGCATGGCTTTCCCTGTGAGCTGGACCACCTTGTGGCTGGTGCTCTGGAAGAAGGGGCCTGGCTCCCCCCATCTTCCTCCCCTTCAGTGCCTCATTGCCAGGACAGAGCAGCTACAGGGGCCAGTGGCTCAAGAAATCCTGGGCCCTTGGTAGACATACAGACTCTCAGCTCCAGTGCCTCAGCCTCTGTGTACACCCTCCTCCGGCTCAAAGAGTGCACTGGGGGTCGGGCATGGCTGTGACGCAGCAGGTGCAGCTAGGAAGCCAAACTCTGTGGGCCTGAGGACCCACTTACATGTGCCAGCCCCACGAGGCAGCAGTGGTTCCTAGTGCCTTGGCACAGCCACGTGCAAACTGCTAGGCAGATGCGGGCCCCACATTCCCCACGGAGCCCCAGGGCCCTGGTCGGGCAGCTGCTGTCCCCCAAGAACTCCAGAAACTGAAGTGTAATTCTTAAAAGTTTACAGTGGTCAGATACAAACCATAGGTGACTAGCAATAAATCAGGCCAGATAAGACCTGCACGCAGAAGGTTTGGGCTGGATTGGAGGGTGCTGAGACTCAGCGGTGGGGACGCTCTGTTCCTCGGTGGGAGATTTGGTGAGTCGTCCGTCCTTCGAAGCTCTTCAGTTCAGCAGGATCCTGGTCCAACCCGGCACCGCTTTTCTTCCAAATGACAAGCTGACTTGAGAACTCTGAGTAGCCCAGGGCCAAGGCTGACTAAAATACTCCTAAAGAAGTGGGGCATTTGCCCTGCAAATAACAAAACTGACCGCAGCTGTACGAGTGGCAGCCTGCCTCCAACCAAGTGGACGGTGGAGGTCAGTCCCCACAAGGGGCCCAGGCCAGGGCAGGGCAGGAGAGGCTGGAACGTGCGGTGGCGGGTGACGACGCGCTCAGAGGCCAGCAGGCAGTACAGGGGACACGGGGCAAGCTTGGGGGGCATCTGCTGGCCAGAGTTGGGGTGGGGAGCGTTTGTGAGTCCACCGTGCTGTGCATACTCACTGAGCTCCACGGGGGAAACGCAGAAGGAACCGTCACGTGGGAACGACCGCTCTAGTGATGGGTTCAGGTGGGAGTCATCGGTGCCTGCGAGCAACTTCCGTGGAACCAGGGTCTGGCGCCACCGGTGACTTAATACCAGGGAAGCACCTTTCAGTGAAGAACTCTAACAGGTAGCACCTGGCAGTGGGTCACAACTGGCAGATCCAAATGGAAGGCCGTTCGGCAGAGTTGCCTGAACTCACCAAACACGTGTGCGGTGAAAGAGGAGACGCTGTCCAGACTGAAGCGTGAGGACCACACACAGTGTGTGGCCCTAGCAGGGGCCCTGGGTGGTGTACTTGTGAGGGTGTCCTGGGACCAGCAGCTGAGCAGAAGTGCACGGGCCTGCACACACGTTGACCACGGCAGTGTCGGGCCTGGGACTGACCAGACAGCGTGGAGGTGGGCCCTGGTGGCTTCGGAGGCGAGGGCCTCGTGTGCACATGGTGCAGGTGGTGTTGGGTGTCCTGCCTCACCTTCCCCAGAAGTCCACTTCAGGGGTGTGACTGCCGCGTGGGGCGTGGAACTGTCACGTTTGTTTGTTTTGTCAAAGCAGCATTACTGAGGCGTAATAAACTGCATTTTTAAAAAGTGCAGTAAGTTTTGCCATATTAATACTCACTGGAAACTATTACCGTAATCAGCACAGTCATTGTACCCATCTCCCCCAGAGGGTTCTGCGTCCCCCTTGTGGTCCCTTCACTGCGGTGGCCTGCCGCTCCTTCCAGATGCTGCTCCTGTCACTGGGTCAGCTTGCACTGTCCTGCTGTGTGTCAGTGGTCAGTGCTTCGTGGCACAGGGGCACCCTGGGCGGGCGCGCTGGGTTCTCACTCCCTTTGCCTGTTCACAGAGGTGGGTGTTCGGGGGTCCAGCTTTCCAAACAGCTGCTGCGAACTTATGCAGGGACCCTGTGTGGACATTTACTTCCCTTTTCTTTGATCAGCCCCTGGGGGCAGGGCAGCCGGGAAATGCGGTGGGCGGGGCTCATCTCTGAGGAGCTGCCTGTCAGTGGGACTCAGGGCTCCAGTGGTCGTACCCTTCAGATCGGCCACGTCACCGGAAGTTACTGGCCTGACGTGGTTCATGATATTTCTTCTCAGTCTTTGTGTATTTGTAAGATCCTGTTATGTTACTTCATTCATGGTTTTGGTAGCTTGTGCCTTCTTTCTTTTTCCTGGGAAGTCTGGTCAGAGGTTTATCAAAAAACTGAAGAGAACCAGCTTTTGGTTTCAGTAGTTTCCTGTTACTTGTTCTCTATTTTAATGATTTCTGTGGTCTTTCATTTCTTCTGACTTTGGTTTTTAATTCCTTACTTTTTTAGATGGAAACAGATCATCGATCTCTTCCTAACACAGGTGTCTGGTTGCTGTAACCTCCCCCAAGTGCGCCTGGGGCAGCATCTCGGAAATGCTGGTGCGCTGGGGTTCATGCTCGCGCAGTGCTGGGTGCTTCCTGATCCCCCTTTTGATTTCCGCCATGATCCCATGGCTTATTTGTGTGTAAAATAGCCATTTATCGTGCTCACCAGACCCGTGGCACTTGGAAAGGACAGAGCTGGGCAGTCTTGTCTCTGCTCTGCGATGCGGTGGCCTTATCTGAAAGGCTCAAAGGTGGGGGCTGGACCCAGCCAAAGGCCGCCATCAGCTGTCACCACTGCCGCCCTGGCCGCCGGCGTGTCTAAAGGTTGGTGCCGGCCGTGAGCAAGGCCTGTGCAGCAGCTGAGGTGCTGCTCTACCTACCAGCACAGCAGGGAGCGAGGTGTGGAGTCACGGGTGTCCGTGGAAGACAAGCCTCCCTGAGCTGCGGCAAAGGGAGGGCAGCTCAGGAGACGTGGGGAGAGACCAAATGGTGTGGCTTCAGATGAGGGTCGCAGGGGAAGGTAGGCACCCAGGCTACTTTGAAGTGTGTTGTGTGGCTTCCAGATATTTCAGAAGCTTTCAGAGTCCTCCATTGTCTGTTTTCAGTCCAGTGACACAGGTGTCTGAGAACGGGCTTTGCGAGGCCTGTTCGCATCTCTCAATACACGCCCCGGGCGGAGGGCAGGAGCACGCTCTGCTGTGCAGAGCCGGGGGGCTGCAGCCAGACTGCAGCTGTGTCTCCGCCGTCTGGCTTCCTGCTGCGCTGCGGCCTGCCATTAGCCGCACAGACGCACCGGCTGTGTTCCCCGGGGTGAGGCGGCACCTTTACCGCGGTGAGGTGACTGGCAGTCTGTCCCGCTGTTGTCCTCCTCTGGCGCCGATTGAGTCCTCCTGTGCGTGAAGGTGCTCAGTGTGCACAGGGTGCATGGAAGGGGTGTGCTTTTTCCTCGACTCTGGCTGCTTGTGCCTCGCTTACTAGGGTGTCTGGGCTGCAGCAGGCTCCAGGACGCCTGCTTGGTTTTTGTTTTCTTTTGGGTTAATCACGTATTTTTATTTCAATGATTGTCCTGTGGTTGGCTCCTCAGGTGGCTTATTGACTGACTGTTCCTCTTGTGCTTGTGGCCGAGGTCGGTTTTCCACGGCCATCCATCTGTACCTGCTGTGGTCTCCTCAGCGGCGCTTTCTCCCAGCTCACCTGTGCTTTGTGCCGCTGTGTCCTTGTCACCTCTGAGCCGTCCGGTCTGGAAGGGACAGACGAGCAGAACTGATCTGGTGATGGATTCTGCAGCTCTGCACGTCGCAGACATCTCCGTTTTGTCTTTGCCGAGGGTGTTGTACAGCCTCTTCTCTTGGAGAGCGCCAGACTTTTCTGAGCTTGGAGCATGTTGCTCTGTGTGTTCTGACAGGAAGTCTTGTCACCCTGGTCCTCATTCCTCAGTACCTGCTGCGTCTTTTTCCTCTGTTGCTTTTGAGGTATTCTCTGTCACTGGTAACCGGTGACTTGGTCTTCGAGCACCAGTGAAATGTTCTTTGTGGTTCTTGTTCTTGGGGCTCATTGAGCTTTTGGGTTTCTGGGTTAAATGTTTTCATCCAGCTATTTCTTCTGGCGTGACGTCTGTCCTTCCTTCTCTCTCTTCTTCCGGGGGCTCCGGCTGCAGAAAGGCCTGAAGTTGTCCCACAGGGACCGCGCGGTGCCGTGGGCTATGCATTGGTTTCTGTGCGATACACGATGCCTTGGAGCTCCCAGTGTCAGGTCTGCTGTGAATCCCACCCCGTGTGAATCCCACCCCGTTCTTGTCTCGCACTCTGTGGTGCTCGTCACCGAAAGCCAGCTTTGAGTCTGGTGCGCATCCCACGCTGTTGGTCCGCGAACTGTACAGAGGGTGTCCGTCACAGGGGCCTCCCTTCCCTGCCCATCCGACCCTGGTCAGAGTCCCTGTGCAAGCCCAGGCTTGTCAGGGTCTTCTGACCCCATCCCTCTGAAACGCCACGTGTCTTGCAGTGGGCATCCCCACCATTCGGTGGTGCGGGGCGGAGGGGGACTACAACGTCATGGTGATGGAGCTGCTGGGGCCGAGCCTGGAGGACCTCTTCAACTTTTGCTCGAGGAAGTTCAGTCTCAAGACTGTCCTTCTGCTGGCCGACCAGATGGTAAGAGATTATCGTTCTGAGGGATCTGTCTGTCTTGTGGGTTTTTCTCCATCCACCGGTCACACACTGGGAGGGAGTGACATGGAGGGTTGGGTTTGGAGAGCCATGGGCTCGCAGGACAGCACATTCACATGTGCGACCAGTCTCCCGGGACAGTACTGCAGCGGGGCCTGCCACGGGCTGCTGCCCTTCCCCCTGGAGCGCCCGTGAGAGGGGAGAGCCCAGGATGGGGGTGCAGTGTCCCATCCAGTCAGTGAGCGGCTGCCCTGGCTGCTGGTGCGGGGCGCCGGCAGAAGCCTCCTCCAGGCTGGAGTCGGGCTGACCCCACTGTGCCACCCTGCTTGCAGATCAGTCGGATCGAATACATTCACTCAAAGAACTTCATCCACCGTGATGTGAAGCCAGATAACTTCCTCATGGGGCTGGGGAAGAAGGGCAACCTGGTCTACATCATAGATTTTGGCCTGGCCAAGAAGTACCGGGACGCCCGGACCCACCAGCACATACCCTACCGTGAGAACAAAAACCTCACCGGGACGGCGCGGTACGCCTCCATCAACACGCACCTCGGCATCGGTGAGCCCTGCCGCTGGCCTAGGCTGCCGGCATATCCGGCTCAGTGCAGGGGAGGGCTGGCCACTGGGGGCAGGGAGTGGTCGGCACTGGGAGTGCAAAGCGGAGGCTCTGGGTATGCTGGGCAGGTGAGCGGCGGCTTTCTGGCAGCTGTTCCACGGCTGCCTCAGGTCCCGGACAGCAGGCCTGGGCCGCTGCAGGTGGCATGAAAGAATCCAGGTGTTTCTCTGTGCTTCTTAGAGTTCATTTCCACAGTCAGCATGTGTTTGTTGCTGCTGGTGTGAGCTAACCTTGGTTCATTTCCCCTCTTTTTGCCAGAGCAATCTCGAAGGGACGACCTGGAGTCACTGGGCTACGTGCTCATGTACTTCAACCTGGGCTCCCTGCCCTGGCAGGGGCTGAAGGCTGCCACCAAGAGGCAGAAGTACGAGCGCATCAGCGAGAAAAAGATGTCCACACCCATCGAAGTGCTGTGCAAGGGCTACCCGTGTGAGTGCCTGGGGCCGGTGGGGGCGGGGGGCACGCGCCCAGGAGGGAAGCCAGGCTGCTCGGTGATGCGGCCTTTTCTGGGACTTCTCCCAAAGCTGTGGTGCCTTTCCATGTGGCCCCCAGGTGGTCGGGGGGGATGAGGTTGGGAAACCGTGATGTCACTTGCTGCCGTGTGCCTTCCAGTCAGGGCTGCTGCTGGTGAGTCCTGAGTGTCTCCTCGTTTTACAGCTGAGTTTGCCACGTACCTGAACTTCTGCCGATCCTTGCGTTTTGACGACAAGCCTGACTACTCGTATCTGAGGCAGCTCTTCAGGAACCTGTTCCATCGCCAGGGCTTTTCCTATGACTACGTGTTTGATTGGAACATGCTCAAGTTCGTAAGTGCCATCGCCAGCCCGCCGACCTCTCAGCACGGATGGGAAAGGGCCCATCAGCGTCAGGCCTCCGGTGGCCCATGGGCTCTAGTCCCGTGTGGGAGGCAAGTTGTCCAAGGTGCAGGGCCGGGAGCCCCGTCCACTGCACTGGGAGCCGGGCGTTCCTGCAGGGCTGGGCCTGTGGGCTTGGCCAAGGGCGAGCGGCTTCAAGAACGAGGGGCCTCGTGGAGGGGCAGCAGGGGTGGGCCAGACGTGGGGGTGCGCACAGGTGCACCACGGCCCCGAGCCAGCGCTCTCACCGGAGTGCTGAGTCTCCTTCCATTGGAAGGCCATGTCACTGTTGCCGCCGTCAGCTCTGAGGGCGGGGTGGTGCTGGTCCCCTGTGACGTCGGGTGTGGTGCCTGCTTGCTCCCGCTGCGGGGCATGGCTGAGACAGAGGCTCTGGCCACAGGAGTTGAGGGCCTGCTGGGCAAATTGTCCTCCATGTGGGCGGGCAGCCTGGGGAGGCCCTGTGTGCTGAGTCTGACCTTGGCCCCGTTACTCAGTTTGTTTATTAATTGCCCGTGAAAGTGCTGCCACGCCGCTAGTATTCTCTCGGGCTGCAGGGGACACCCAGGGCCTTGGGCCGTTCACCAAACCCCATTCGTTCTCCCCTACTTGCCTTCCCAGGGTGCCAGCCGGGCAGCGGACGACGCCGAGCGGGAGCGCCGGGACCGTGAGGACCGGCTGAGACACCCCCGAAACCCGGCCACCCGCGGGCTCCCTTCCACAGCCTCGGGCCGGCCGAGGGGGGCGCAAGAAGCGGCCGCTCCCACCCCACTCACCCCTACCTCACACACTGGTAAGCGGTCCTGGGGCCGCATCTCACGCCACGTGTCCCTTCCACCGCCCCAGTAGGCAGCGGGTTCTGTTTGCATGTGACCTCAGGGGCAGCCAGCTCTGAGCAGGGTCTGGGAGGCCTCTCTGTCGCCTTCTGGTCGTGCTCACTTCTGAGGGGTACAGACCAGGAAGCACATGGGGTGGTGCCTTAGGGAAGCCCATCTCACAGCCCCTCTTCTGACTCGAGTGCCCCTTCCAGCCCCTCAAAGCCCACCCCTTCCCCCACAGCATTGCAAGCAGAGCCCTGGGGAGCCCTCCCACGGGAACCCCCGGTGCACGCCTCCCCCTTGGTGGGCTCTGCCCGTGGGCGTGCACGAGCAGGGCAGTGTCCGCTGGGCGCAGGCTGCCCTGGGACACAGCGTGGGAGGCCTCACCCCCGTCCCTGTCTCCATCAGCTAACACCTCCCCGCGGCCCGTGTCCGGCGTGGAAAGAGAGCGGAAAGTGAGCATGCGGCTGCACCGTGGCGCCCCCGTCAACATCTCCTCGTCAGACCTCACGGGCCGGCAGGACACCTCCCGCATGTCCACCTCACAGGTGCGCGGGCCCAGCTCTCCTAGGGCGGGACACAGGCTGCAGGCTCTGTGTGTGGACGGGTCCTGTGGGCTCCAGGTGGAGTGGGGTGAGGGTTTCGAAGGGTTTGAACTGGTGAGGGACGCTGTCCGCTGGCCTTTGCCTGCCTGCTTCGTTGAGAGCCTTGGAGAGCAGCTGTGTGGGCACCAGCCTCATCCCCTGCCAGGCTGGGACAGGCTTCGAGGTCTTTTCTCTCCTGCTGCCCAGGCCCAAGTGGGCCTCCGAGGCTTAGTGTCTTCCCTACACACAACTCGCCACGCGGTGCCTGGTGGCTCCAGGTATCTGTTGTGGGCACCCCCAGCCGTAGACTCTTTTTCTCATCCTCTCTGCTGGGCAGAGCCTGGCCAGGGTAGGAGGGGGGTGCTGCTGGTGGTCAGTCATGTGGGGTGGGATGGACAGAGGCCTGTTGGGGCCCAGTGCCTGGTGGCATGCTGTGGGCGAGGGTTTCCATCTCGATGTCCCCGTGTATCCGTCCATCCGCCTGCAGAGGCCTGGCCCCCTGTCCACCCGCACGCCCTCCCCACCACCCACACGCCCTCCCCACCACCCGCACGCTCTCACCACCACCCACACGCTCTCCCCACCAGCTTCTGTTCTGTCCTGCCCTGCAGGCTCCTCTCCACGTGCAGCAGCTCTTTCTCAGGGGCTTCCAGGGCCCTTCCTGTGGCTGGCTGGTTATAGGTCAGGAACCTGCCCCCACGACTGTTCGGGGGGTTCCTAGGGAAATCCAGCCCTGGTTGGGGGTGCAGACCACCCCTCTATTTCCCCAGGATGCCGCCCTACAGCGGGCCTGTGGGTGTGACTTGCTGGCAAGGATGGTGGTAGGAGCACAGGGTCCCAGAGCTGCTGGGGACTGCCGGTCTGGCAGGGGCAGGCTGCGGATCCCCCCTCCCGATCACTCCAGTGACCAGTGACTCCACTGGACCCTCTCGGGTCCCGTGACATCCTTCTCCCTGAAGGTGCAGGAAGTTCGAATTGTGGGTCTCAAGGAGTCTGGCCAGGATAGTGAGGTTGGACCTCTCTAGAGCCCCCACTCCTCCCCAGCCCCACCACAGGACACAGCCGTGGGCTTCGGGGCCTCCTCCCACGGGTCCCAGAACCTGTGAGTCAGCAGCTGCCCACCCCCACCTGGGCGTGTGGTGCCTTTCTGGCCCCAGGACACTTTTGGGGGGACACTGGGGGCTTGTACTGGACTTGACATTTGGGTGTTGGGGGCCCAGCCAACAAAGATGAAGTAAGGGACAGCGTTAACTTTTTCTGAGGAAATAAAGCGTTGTGTGGGTTTGGGACCCTGCGGAAACAGAAAAGTGGGAGGCCTCCAGGCACCAGGCTCCGAGAGCTGTGGGTCCAGCCCTGCACCGAGGCCGGCTGCACCGGGGAAGTCTCGGTGAGCCGAGACGAGCTGGTAGCTCAGGGTCCTTAACATTCCTGTTCTCCCACTGCTCTCCTTCTGAAGAGAGAGAATGTGGGGGGAGAGGGAGCCAAGAGATTGGGTTTGAGGGTGTTTTCCCTCCAAAAGCAACCTCTCAGCTTTTTTCACTGGTCACCTTGAGGATTATCTCAGGGTCTTCCTTTTGTAGAGGACCTGGCTTCTGGGGGGGTGTCCCATTGCACCGTTACAGGCCTGGCAGGGACAACTGTGTCTCGGTTTTCCTGGCCTCCATGGGCGTGCTCCCTGGGGTGGCTCCAGAAGGCCTTGCCGTCCGAGGGCGTGATCGGTGCCCCGGGGTTTGGAAGTTAGGCTGTACGTGGAATCCTCCTGCTCTTGCAGTTCTGTAGCCTTTGTTCACACTCGCTCCCCAAAGGAAGCGGGTGAAGGCGCTGCAGCCTCGCGTGGGTCCCGCCTGCTCACCTGTGGCAGCATCTCCTGTGTGCCCTCAGGAGGGGTCAAGTCGGGTTCCGACGCTGCCGGCCAGGGAGGTGGTTCGGCCTTGGCAGAAAGCAGCTCAGACCCCGCCCGTCAGAGGACCTGCTGCCTGTGTCCTGCTAGGGGGTGTCCCTCTCGGGACCCCATGGCCATCGTGCGCTCGGCCACTGCAGGAGGGCGGCCACTCCTCCTCACTCCCACTCCCTTCACACGGGCAGCTGGTGTGGAACCAGTTCTGGGGGCCTCAGTCCCCACACGCCCAACCCTGGGATGCAGGTCTGGCCTGTGGTGGATGAGCTTGTGTTTGGTGGAGTCTCGGTGCGGTGGTGCTGGTCGAGTGATGAGACTGGTCCTCAGCTTACTTGCTCCTGTGTCAGTTTTAATCCGCCTTGTGTCGCCCAAATCAGGTCCCATCCTCTTCCTCGTGCCATGAGGAAACGTGGCCACCTGTGTGTCACAGAGAGGTGCCGTCCTTTCCAGTTGCCCAAGCACAGGCTGCTCTGAGCAGGGAGCAAGGCCTGAGGCAGCTGCTGGGCATCAGGCTCGCTTGCTGCGGGAGGGTCAGGGGTCTACCCTGGCCCCTTGTCAGCCTTGGAGGCAGGTCGTCCTAGAGGAGCAGCCACAGCTGCTCTTGCTTTGGGGCAACTCACAAAAGGTGAGGTTGAACTCCCGGGTGGTTCCCGGGGTCCCTTCTGTGGCACCCCGGCCAGTGAGGGTGGACCTGATGGAGGACGCACCTCTGGGAACAGGAGGCCTCGTGCCGGGCCCGCCGGCGGCCCCTGTACCGACAGCTGTCTTTCCCCACCTCAGAATAGCATCCCTTTCGAACACCACGGCAAGTAGCTGCGCGTCCCCGTCGGAAGGCGGCACTGGGTGAGTGTGCTCACAGCAGTCTCCAGACGGCAGGCACTGGGCGGGCGGGAGCTGACCCTTCGCCCCCGTGGGAGCTCACAGGTGGGCTTGGTCTTGCATGCCAGGTGCCGCAGGTAGAGCGAGGGCCCTCCGCCCAGTTCCTTCCCTCCTGCACTGTCCAGAGCACCTGCAGTCAGGTGCCCAGTCTGGGGGGCAGGCAGGCCGCAGGGAGTCCCCTGGTGGGGTGACTCCAGGACTGGCTGCTGTGCTGTGTCTGAGCCCTGCTGGGTAGCGGGGCCCCAGGGCTCCCCACTTGCTCCGGCTCCAGCAGCCCTGGGACACTCCAGCCGCTGGGTCTCGGCATTGGCTGTTGGGGTCGTGTGTCTGTCGCGCTCAGCTGAGTGGCCGCGATTGGTGGGGCCTCCTGCGTGCTCGCTGCGTGAGACCCCCTTGGTCTCTGTGGCCCTGGCTTTGCCGTCTCTCTTCCCTCCGCGTTTATCTGTCTTCCTCGCTTTGTTTTTCTTTCCAAACTTGGTCTCTGCCCAACACCTTGTCCCTGCTGTCATGTGTACCAACCTGTCGGCCCAGCCGCCTGCTCCCTGCCGATGACGTGCATGGCTGGGCACCCAGGGCACTTCTCTGGGCCAGGCTGGGCGGCTCCTTCCCTCCGCTGAGGGCTGCAGCTGGGGCTCGGGGCCACGTGGAGCCCGCTATGGCTCAGACACGGCGGTGCTCTGGGGACTGTTCAGGGGAACTGCTTGTCACCTCTCCCTCAAAGGGTGGGGATCCCAGTGTCTCGGGGGGCCTGGCCCCCAATTTCAGAATACGAGATTATTTGGGGGGGTGGGGAATGGCTGGGATCAAGTATCTCTTGCCGCTTGGACTCTGGTCCTGTCCTTCATGAGCCTCTCGGCTCCGCCTGCATGCATCTCCTCCTTCCCCGTCTGTCACTGTTCTGCTGAGCACCTGTCCTGGCCACAGAGGGCGCTCCTGGAGCAGCTGGGGACGCGGGCATCCAGAGTGGGGCTGGGTGACACCTGTCCCCTTCCTTCAGGGCACTCGTTGACCGACCTGGCCCCTGGCCGCACGCTGATCTTGTCCTGTGCTTTGGCTCCGACAGATTCCTGGTCGGGTGGCTTCCAGTGGTCTTCAGTCTGTCGTGCACCGATGAGAGCGCCCCTTGTGCTGTGAAGGGCAGACACTGAATGCATGGCTGATCCACTCTGTTACATGGCTTTACTAGTGACGCTCCCTGGGCTAGGACTCCGGGCCACCCACTCAGCAACGCCCGCGGGGACAAACTAAACTAACCGGACAGACTCCCAGCGCTGCCGCCGCCGCCGGGGCTTCACTGAGGCCCACGCGGACTCATGGTCCCGGGCCCGGGAAGAGACGTCGAGGGCGAGATGCTGGCAGGACCCAGACTCCCGTCCGAGCCGCCGGCCCTCCCTGCCGCGGCGGCACTCCACGCTCCCCGACGAGTCTGCTGTGACCACCACCTTCTACTTGGTTCTGACAGTTTTGTATCATTTTGCTAAAAATTATTGGCTTAAATCTGTGTAAAGAAATCTTTTTATTGTTTCTTCTTGTCTGTTTCTCCGGTCTTAAAAAAGGTGTTGACTTCAGAGAGTCCCGACTCAGACACCAGCGTGGAGTTTCTGTGTAGCCCGAGGTGGGCGCTGGGCACCTGTGCCACCAGCGATGTGCCTGCGTCTGTGTGGCGTGACCCACTGTGGAGAGGGGCATTCTCCAGAAATCATCACGTGTACACGTGTGTGCAGTGTGTGTCTGTGTGTGTTGTGTGCTGTGTCCTGTGACCTCACCTGGCTTTGGCCACCGCCCCTTACCCCCCCCCCGTAAACTGAGCCTCCAGGACTCCGACCGGTGGAGCCTTTAGAGAGTGTGGCCTCGGGCCAGGGCCTCGCGGTGCTCCCGGCGGGGAGGGGCCTGAGTGGCGGCAGAGGTGGGGGCGGCACTAGCACTTTGCTGATGGGGTTGCCGCAATGCCTTTGGACTGGGGGGCGTCTTCTGAACAGACTAACAGCGACGCAGAACGGCCCCTCGTGTGTGCTGACACCTGTGCGCTCAGGGCCGAGCCTGCGGCCGGCAGCCCTGGGTGTGGGTTGGCCCAGCAGGGGCCTGCGAAGGGAATCCCCCCCCGGAAGTGCCAGGAGGAGGGGACCCCACGACCTGTGGGTCCAGGAGGGTGTGTTGTGCTCTCACGAGCCTGGGAGCTGCCAGGTCCCATGTTCTCACCAGAAGGACCTGCAGAGCAGGGCCCCCGTGCTGTTCCCTGTCACGTTACTGTGTCAGACGCCCCAGGTGGTGGCAGCCGGGAGACAGGAGCCCTTCTCAGGAAAGGGGCGCACGTGTACACTCTTGGGTGCTCCCACCCTGCTGCAGTGTTTGGAGACCAGGGAGCTGGCTGGCAGTCCTGGGCCCGGAAAGCGTTGAGGGGGTGTCCCTCCTGCCCCGGAGCCCCACAGCACTGGAGAGCGGGTCCCAGGCACCAGGTGGCATTGTGGCAGCGCACAGGGTTTGATGGGGGCTGGAGGGTCAGGGCAGGTTGGGGCGCCCCCCGGAGGGGTGGCCACTGCGTGCAGCACCCTGCCCAAGTCCTCAGCATGTGGCTGTGGACAGTGTTGCGTCCCGTGACAGCCCCCAGGAGCTGTGGTGGCGTGTCTGTGCAGCTGTGTCGGTGACGTGTCTGACCTGTGCATTTGTGTGACCACTGTATTTGTGTACTTACTACACCGTGTAAATAATAAATATATGACGTCTACCTTTCCTCCCCGCTCCCAGCATGTGGTCGTTATTTCATCAGCTTGAGTCTTCAGTGGGTGGGGGACCCCATGAGAACCCTCTGGGCCTGGGAGGGTGGGGTGGGGCCTCTGGCCTGTGCCCTCCACCCTGGAACACACGGCCCCCGGCCCCCGGCCAAGCCTCCAAGGTGCGCTGACCATCTCAAGGTCTCCTAAGTGTTCCCGGAGTGTGACTTGGGGATTCACCAGTCCTCTCCCGGGGCCAGCAGGGGTGAGGCAGCTCAAGATGAGAGGGAGGGGAGATGTCTGGGGGGCTCCTGTCAGGAGCCAGAAAGGAGCGTGCAGAGCCCAGAGGGTGCCCTGTCCACCCTGCTTCTCCCCTTCCCCCCTCCAGTGCAGGCCGGTGGCTGCTAAGACCAGCATCCTCTGGGCTACCATTGAGGCTGACCCTTTGTGGCCTGGCAGAGGGGGGGTGGTGGCGAGGCTGATGTCTCAGCTTTGCCAGGAGCCCTACTGGCAGGCCTTATATAGGGTGAGGCATGAGGTGCAGGGCTGCACCTTTGCCTGTTACTGCCCACAGAGGGGCCAGAGACCAGGAAGGGTACCAGGCAGGGGCTAAGGGACTGGGCAGGTGTCTGGCTTCCCACACAGAGCCCTGGGGTGCTGTCTCCTGACCGAGCCCTGGACGTGAGCCCTCGCTTGCTTTTCGTTGCAGAGGAGCAGGGACGTGGCATCTCTCCGGCTGCACACAGCCCGCCAGGGCACCCAGTGCCGTCCCCAGCGCCCTCGACGCACCACCTACTGAGGCGGCCCCAGTGGTCTCTGATCGCTCCCCAGCCATGCAGGCGCCGCCGGCCACAAGGGCAGGTGGGTGTGAGGGGCCTGGGCGAGGCCAGCAGGGCTGGACGGGAAGTGCAGGGAGCTGATGTCCGCCCCGGGCGGTATCAGCGGCATAGGGTCCTGGCAGTGTCCACGGAGTGAATAAACAAGGCAGGAAACTTTGAACACACACCTTCTCGGGGATCCCGGCTGCCTGCTGGAAGGGCCTTCGCCCCCAGCACTCAGCCAGCATGCCGACAGGCCAGACGCACTTTGGTGTTTGCCCAGAAAGATTTGGGGTGAAGGGTAGACCACATCCCTCCCTTCCGCCAGACTCAGCTGCCCTGACACACAAGTTTATTCCAGACCCTCCAGAGGCAGAGGCGGGGAGCTATGCCCCCAGACACGGGACAGGCGGGCGGGGGGCCCCCCCGGGGGTGGTGAGTATGGGAGGCAGGCCCAGGGGGCAAGCCCGATGCAGGGCTGTGCTCGGCCCCACCCCCTGAAGAATGTCTCTGAAGCCGGGTTTCTAAGTCCTTGAGCCCAGCTGTGGGCACCTGGCAGCTCAGCAGGCTGGGTGTCTGGTGCAGACGGCCTGTAACCTCGAGCTTGACTTCACCACAGATCTGCTTTGGAATGACGCGGTTCCCATCCACCACCTCCCCCGAAAAACAGTGATGGGCGATGATCCACCGTGGGGAGCCGGGGGCCCGCCTGAGCCAGTCCTGTCTGTGAAATAAATACAAGCCCCGAGGCCTCGGCTCAGTGTCCCAGCATCCCGGCCGCACCAGTCAGACGCTCGTCTCCGGGGTGTGAGCCACCTCTCCCGCTTTCTCGGGCTCCGCCTTCAGGAACTGCTCCACCTCCCTCGAGTCCACACCGTCCCTGTCATCCACAGGGGGCTCGTGGCCCTTCTCCTCCTTGGCGGCCGCCCCTGGCCGCTTCCTAATGCAGATGTTGCCCAGTAGCAGCAGCAGGGAGGCGGCCAGCACCTCCGCCCCGGCCAGAAGGAACACGAACTGGTACACGTGCGTGGCGTCCAGGAGTCTGCCTGCAGGGGGCGGTGCGTCAGCTCAGCCCAGCTCCCGTGAGCTCCCCGCCTGTCCCACAGTGGACCGGGCAGGTCCTCCCTGGCACCTGCTAGCTGTGGGCCGGAGGACGTGGTGGCCCGGCTATGCCGGGCCGGGGTAAGGGTCCCTCCCACTAACAGCCACCCCACAGCGAATCCCCCTCCCTGGGATGGGCAGGTGCTGGGACTGGGCCCCTGCCTGCTGCAGCCTCACCTCCAGACGGGGGCCCGATGAGCACGGCGATGGCCTCCAGCAGCAGCACGAGGCCGATGGCACTGGAGAACTTGTGGGTGCCCACGATGGCCATGAGCACCTCGAACTGCAGGGCCCCCACCATGCCGTAGGAGATGCCGAAGAAGATGCAGAAGACCACCAGGCCGCTGTAGTTGCCGGCCGTGGAGCCCGTGAGGTCGGTGACGCCGTTGAAGAACATAGAGAAGCTGAAGAGGTAGACAGAGTAGGGCCGCACCCTGGGGAGCCCTGTGATGAATCCGGCAGCGGGCCGGGCGAAGATGTCGACAAAGCCCAGGACCGTCAGCAAGAAGGCGGCCCGAGCGTCTGGCACGCCCAGGTCCTTGGCGTAGCTCACTACGAACACGGGCGGCACAAAGAGCCCCAGCACCATGACGGAGGCAGCCACCGCGTAGACCACGAAGCCACGGTCCCTGAAGACGCTCAGGTCCAGCAGCCGCCGGGAGGGCCTCTGGGGCCCGGGCCCCACGCCAGCTGCCTCCAGGGGCCGCATGAGCGCGGCGCACACGCAGCAGTTGAGCAGCAGGCCACCCAGGATGAGGAAGCCGCCCCGCCAGCCATAGTGGTCCTGCAGCAGCTGGCCCAGTGGGGACAGCGCACACAGGAACACGGGGCTGCCCGCCGCCGCCAGCCCATTGGCCATGGGGCGCCGCTTGTTAAAGTACCGGTTGAGCATGATGAGCGATGGCTGGAAGTTGAGCGCCAAGCCCAAGCCTGGATGGGGGGACGGCAGGTGAGGTGCTGGCTCCACCCCCTTTGTCCCCAGCACATGCTCGGCAGAGGAGACCCAGTGTGCCCAGAGCCCTGTCCCCGATGGATGTGCCCGGAGGGGCGGCAGAAGAGGGAACACGGGCGCCCTGGGGTGTAGGTGACCAGGCTTCTCCATGGGCCTGAGCCATGGTCATCAGGCCACCAGGCACAGAGGGACCCCCAGCACCCCACCCTGCCCCGTGGCCAGCCCCACTCACCTGTAAGGACGCCAGTGGTGAAGTACAGCTGGATGACACTCTTGCAGAAGGATGCGGCCACCATGCCCAGGGACGCCAACAGACCACCCACCAGCATGACTGGCCGGCAGCCAAAGCGATTCACACACACGCTGCAGAGTGGGCCTGCGGGGGACAGCCACTGAGCGGCGGGTCCAGCCCTCCCCAGCGTCCCAGCTCGGCAGGCCCTCCGGGAGCTCCAGCCGCCCAGAGCCCAGTCGCAGCCGGACACTGTGCTGGTGTCTGCAGGCATGAGAACCAGCCTCCTGCCTGGTTCTCTGGGCCTCGCATCCGGGCAGGCACAGCTGCCAGGATGGGTCCCCGGCGGGGCTGGCCCTCACCTGTGCCGTATAGCATGGCGAGCAGGATGGACGAGATCCAGGCCGTGTCGCTGTAGCCAATGCCAAACTCACGCATGAGCTCTTTGAAGAAGACGCTGACCGCCTTGGGGAAGGCGTAGGAGAAGCCCGTGATGACGAAGCAGCCCGTGAGCACGGCCCAGCCCCAGCCCCCATCAGGGGCCGTGACACCGGTGGGGCCTTCGTCCACCACAGCCCCTCCCATGGCAGGAGGGCTGGTTCCTGGCTCCGGGTCCCTGAGAAAGGAAGCCAGGCTCACTGGGCTGTCAGGTGGTCATCCACCAGTGGCGTGGGGACAGACTCCTGCGAGGGCTGGCAGCCTGCCTCCTCACCTGCGATTGGCCCACCGCCCCCACCAGGCGGCTTCCGCACAGCCACTCCCAAGGGCAGCGGTTCTCCCGTGCTCAGCGGAGTCTCAGGCTTTACTTCTTGGAGGCAGACCTCAGGCCTCCTGCTCTGGGGTGATGCAGCAGGGCCCACAGGGTGGGCTGGCATCCCAGAGGGGAGGGACCTGGGGCCCCAACTGGGAAATCCTGCCACCTGGGGGTTGGGGCCAGACAGTAGTGCCATCGAGCAGGCAGGTGGGGACTGAGGGCAGGGGGACCCCACCCATGGCAACGCACAGGCCCCAGCTCCTCTGGGGAGAAGGGAGAGGCCAAGGGCTGGGCGGGTAGCAGGGGCCAAACCCAGATGCCTGTCTGCTGCTGGACTCGATGCTGTGGCAAGCTCAGGGCGCGCAGGGAGGGGCTCCCCACTGGCCTACAGGGGAGACCGGTCCAGCCACCAGGTGGCCTGTCTCGTGCCCCAAACCTTGCAGCAGTCCAGAGCCAGCGGCCCTCTTACTGCGCAGAGACTTGGCTCCTTTGGGACTTGGTAACTTGGAACCTGGGGCCAGACTTCCAGCTTGAGGCCCACCTCCCCCTTCGTCCCCTGTCCACCCCTCCAGCTGATCCTCGCACCAAAGATGTAGCCCCAGATCAGCCTGGTGGCTTGCCTCCTACCTTGCTGGACAGGAGCTGCTCCAAGGCGAGTCCGCTGCTGGCTGCAGGCGTGGGGAAGGAGGGCAGTCCCTGCAGCCGAGTCCTCCCCGCTGGCCAAACTCGGTGAACCAGCCCTCTGTGGGAACACCCGCTCCTGTGGCATAAATACTCCCACCTGCTCCGAGGCCCAAGCACCTCCTGACATTCCTTCCCATCAGCCCACTTCTGTCCTGGCTGCACTTCGGCACCTTTCCTCAGACCCCTCCTAGGCCTGCCACAGTCCCCTCCCCAGCGTCCTGGCCACACCACAGGTGCTGTGCCTTCCAGGGGGCTCTGACTTGGTGGGTGAGTGGGGAGACGCTTTTCAAGGGCCTCCCCATGTGATTCCAAGCAGTAGCGGCTATGTACGAGCACCAGCATTGGCGGTCTGGGCCAGTGCCAAGGGTGCCAGTTCTGGGAAACCTGAGAGAGGCTTGCTCCTCTCCGGCTGCCAGACCTCAGTGCCCTGGGCCTTGAGAGGCTCCCAGATGACAGGGAGCGAGATGGGGGCTGTTCCCGAGGCAGGGGCTGTGGCGGTGTCCGGGAACAGCACAGGGCCCTGCAAACTCGTCCACAGGTCTGTGGCCTGGCAGAGGTCCTGGGTGGCCCACGCACCTGCAGCACACGGGGAGCCTCAGTGCTTGGGCCCTACGAGCTCAGGGTCCGCGTGCGGGCCAGACACGCTGGTGGGCACCAAGTGGTGTGAGTCAGGAGGTCGCTGAGGGTCATTTTGAAGGAAACGTACTAGAAAATAGGTGTGTCTTAGGAACACGTTGTGATGGGGGGACGTTTAAGGCGGAAAGCAGGGGCACCCCAGACCCAGGGCTCGAGGTCAAGCGGTGCCAAGGAGGGGCATGTGTCCAAAACAGCCATCAGGAATGACAGCCCACCTCTGGGTGCCCAACATCACAAAGCAAGCCACGGCCTCCCTCCAAGCTCTGCCCGCCGCACCGGCCACCCTGCCGCTCTCTGGCCAGCCGTCAAGGGCGTGGGACTCCCTGGAGGCTCCCGGGGTCTGCAGGAAACAGGCTGGCTGCCTGTGGGATGCGGGGCATCCCCTGAACTAGCTGCTGGAAGTTGGAGGAGGCCCAGACACCAGGAGGGGACAGCATGTCCCAGGACCTGTGTGAGCCAAGTGGCTGCCATGCATGGCTCCTGCCACCAGGCTCTTCAGACTGCTTTACCCAGCTAACCGTCCCCCCAGCCTGCCCCGCCCGCGGTCAGCAATGGAATGGCCCTGCCCCATCCCCCACACCAGCTGCTCCTCAGTGAGGTTTCCCTGGGAGGTTGTGATTTGCAAGTGGGGGGGGTGGTGGGCAGAGGGAAAGGGGTGGGAGAGCAGGATGGGGGTGGTTCTGGTTTGGGGGCAAAGGGATTCTGTCCAGCAGGGCAGTGCCTATATGGGGTGGGGGTGGGGGGTGGAGGCAGGAGACGGCAGGAGTGAACCTGCTGGGTGAGGGACAGAGGGGCCTGCTGAGGCCCAGTCTAGACCAGGGATGGGAGGAGCGACCCCCTTCAGGGGCATTGGGGACCCTCACGTGGTGCTCAGAAAGGCAGTGGCAGTGCAGGATTGGGTGCATGGTGCTTGGCTGGCCTTTTGTGACATTTACCCTCCCAGGGAAGCACGCAAACCATGTCCCCAGCCCAGAAATAACCCTCCCTCTGAGCCTTAGAAAACCGATCCCCCAGGTCGGGGACAGGTGCCCTTCCTTGCCAGGTCCCACGATGGCACCACACCCTAGGCCGCTGGAAGCCCAGTGGGAAAGGCCAAGGGGCAGAGTCCCCGGGGTCCCTTGGAGGGACCTGAGCAGCAGTCACACATCTGAGGGTCCACTGTTCCTCCCAGGCCAGGCTTCTGCAAGCTGCTCCCTCGGGGTCCCAGCCCCTGAGCCAACCCCCAACTTGCCTGGCCTCCTCTGGCATCGCCCCTCCTCCCCACCCCCAGGCATCGCTCCCCTGCCTACATGCACCCAGGCTTTGAACTGCGCCTTGGTGTTGACAGTGCCCAGCCACACCCCTGCAGTCCTCACTGGCCCTGGCATCTGTACCGCAGTCCCCTCACCCTCTGTCTCGGGTCCTGTGTCTGGCCCATCAGCCCCCTGGAAAGGCCACGTCCCCTGGGTTTGGTGCGGCAGCTCCAGCCCTGGAGCCTGCAGCCTGTCCCAGTGCTCGCTAGGTGGCCTTCTGGGGCTGGCGGGCCATCCTCCTGCACTCCCAGCCCTGGGCGGGAAAGGGGCAAAGGCCTTCCTTCTGGACTCCTCCCTCAGCAGGAGGCCAGCAGCAGCTGAGCCCCGGGAAGCAGCCCCAAGTACCCCAGAGCCGGCAGGGGCGGCGGCAGACAAGAGGCCTCGCTGCTGCCCAGAGGAGGGAGAGCTTCCTTCCTTTCGAGCACATCTGGACCCTCGCCTGCCCGGGACTCGAAGACCCTGCCCTTCCTGGCTTGGGGCAGGATCCCTTGGGGCGGGAGGTGGGGGGTGTGCCTGCCGCTTCCCCTGGGGAGGGGGACACCGGGAACGCTCTGCGCTCCCAGCGTGCCTGGTGCCCCTGCAAGCTCTAGAGTGACTCCCATCTTCTGGCAAGGCCGGCGGGGGCGGGTGGAGGGAGGGAGGTGGCTGGGGAGCGGGAGCGGAGGGACCTCACACGCCCTCCACCCCCACCCCACCCCCCGCACCAGCGCTGGCGCAGACAGGCTGGACGCGCCTCGGGCTGCAGCTCAGGACTGGGCTTGGGGGTTCAGGCAGGGAGGATGCTCCGCCGGACCGCTGGCCGGCCGCGGGACGTGGGGGACGTGACCACGCGCCGAGGGAGGAGCCGCCGCCGTATTGCCTGGAGTAGGCGCCCCTTTGCCCGATGCCGTATTAGCCGGCGCGCACGAGGTGCGGGCTGTCGGGTCAGCGATCCCCGCAGCAGCATGGAATCCCGCGACTCCCTCAGGGCGGGCCGGCTTCCTCTTCCTCCGCTGGGGCGGCCCACACGCATATCTCCGGGACAGCGTCCCCTGACGGCCCATTTCACAGATGGGGACCGAGGCAACGCTTGAGGAGACCTAGACCCTGTCCATGCCGCTCCTCACCCCTAACCCCATACGGGTGTGCCCAGGCCTGACCTCGAGGCGCCTCGCGTGGGTCGACTGCTCTGTGTGGTGGCTTCTGCACTCACCACCTCCCAGAAGGGCAGCCCCAGCCCCCCCCCCTCACACTGCCTCAAAGCTGTCCTGGGGAATCCGAAGCCCCCAGCCTCACTGCCCCTCCAGCTAAGGTGTCCGGCTAGAGTCAGTGGAAGCCAGGTCGTGTCCTGGTGTCAGGCCCGAGGTCACGTGGGGTCGTTACAGAGCCTGCCTTGTGACCAGGCCCCCCAGGGCCCACCCCAGGCTCTGTCCACACCACAGACTGCCGGGCAGGAAGGCCCCACACCCACCTGGCCACGGCTGCGGGTGTCCTCATCGCCCCTGTGGGGCAGACCTCCCACTGAGGAGCAAGGCCTCGACCCCCTGCCTGAGCCCCAGGGCCCAGTCCGACCTGTCAGCACCCACAGCCCTCGGGCCTTGGCAGTGAGGCAGGGACACCCTGGAACCCAACTGCACAGCATCCACCCCTGCTCTGGGCTTTGGTTGAGCCCCACGCGCTTGGGTTGCATGGGGGAGCGCACAGCCACCATCCACTGACCCTCACTCAGACTGCCTGGCCACAGCCGTTCTTTCGGCCCAGGCGCCCCTGGGACAAAGGGCACTCTGGCCCTCCCTCCTGCCCTTTTGTCCCTCCCCTAGCCACCAGGCACCCCCAGTGGCCCAACTACTTCCTGTCCACTCACAAGCTTGCTGGTCACCGGCCTGGTCCACTGTCCAGGAAGATGCATTACCAACCCATTGTGCAGATAACCACACTGAGGGCCCCCCGCCCCAGCCCCTGGTCTGGGCCTGGGAGGGGGTGAGGGGAACCCAGGGGGCCCAGGCCAGTTCCTGGTGGGCGTGTAAGTTTAGGGTGAGGCCAGGAGAGAAAGGAGGTGAGGACGAGGGCTGCCCCCATGTTCCCCACTTTCTGGGGGGGGGGCACCAAATATAGCTGGAGGGCCTGGGCTGCTGCAGGCTGAGCTATTTATACCCAGGACCTGGCCACCGGGCGCAGCCACCTCCTGGCTGGAGCCCAGCCCCCGAGGGCTGCCCGACGGAGGGGTGGCTGCACCGGGCAAAGGCAGTTGACCAGGGGTGGCCTGGGTCCGAGGGCGCGGAGGGGACGCGGCCTGCTCTGGGGTGCTACCTTGAGCGGTGGGAGGCTTGTCCGAGCCTCCGCGCCTTGGACCGGCAGGGGCAGGGACAAGGGGGGCAAAAGCGCGGGCTCAGTGCCCGGGCAGATCGGAAGGTCCCGGAGCCTGACCCCCGGCCCGTGCGGAGCATCCAAGCCGAGCCTACCTGCAGCCACTCGCCAGTCCGCTTCTGCCCTCCTTCTTGGCTGCTGGGCTCGCAACAGGGGCGACTAGGTGCCCTGGTCGCTCGCGCTGCACGTCCCCCGTGCACGTCACGGCCGCTGGCACCGCCCCTGCCGCCCCGCCCGGACCCCGCGCGGCCGAGGGAGGGGCGCCCCCTGCTCCCAGACCAAGCGTCGCAGTGCTCCCACCGGGCCGGCGACCCAGGAGCGGGCCCAGCCGGTAGACGTGGCTCCTCGCCCGACCGGACTGGTCCCGCGCACTCCGAGCCCTCGGTCAGGCTGCCCGGCGCTCGGCCGCCTCCCGCCCCTCCGTCTACCGGCTTCGGTGCGCGCTGGCTTCCAACACTGGCCGTCCCGGGACCTCCCTCCCGGGCAGGGATCTCTCTCCCCCCAATCCCGGGGCCGCGGGCATCCACCAGCAGCTCTCGTCGAGGGTGTTTGCGGACCCCGTGGATTTCCCGTCTCCGGCCTCCCTCCCCAGCCCCGCCTGGGGTCTGCACCCCCATCCAAACCTGCGCTTCCTCCGGGGCCGGGATTGGGGCACGAAGGGCGGTCCCTGCGCTGCCTAAGTGATCTTGGGCGAGGCGGCACCCCCTCTGAGCTTCCGTTTCCCCGTGTGGCTCAGAGTTCTGCGAAGCGGATAAAGCCGCTTGCCTTCCCCTCACATACCCAGAACGTAGACGTGCGGCGAGTGGGAAACATCCGTCCTTCCGCAGACCGTCGCCCTTGGGGGAGGGGTGGTTCTGCCGGTAGGGGGCAAGGTACTCAAACCCCACTGGTCTCCTCTGCCACTGGAAAGAACTAAGGTTTGAGGAGGCGCCAGGCAGTGGGACTTTCGGACTTTCTGCCGGCGGGGGGGGGGGGGGGGGCACTGGAGCTGAGGCCACGGGAACACTTTCCACCTCACCAACCTGGACTGGCACAGAGGGTCCCGGGCTGCAGCAGGCAGGGCCGCTGCCCACTCTGGCCACTATCACAAAGACCCCAGCAGGTCCAGAGTGGGATGGGGGCTTCAGTGGAGGGTAACCTCTCCAGGGGCCTGGGGGGCCCAGACCCCACACGCAAAGAGGGGCAGAATTGGCCTCCTGCCCCCTGGTCCACCATGTGACCACCTCTTCTGAGGTGCCAAGTCCACTGAGGCCCCTGCTTTTTATTTTGGACTCTGAGACCCCCTCCCCCAAGCTCCTTTCCATGCCGTTGGTTCCAGGCGTGGGAAGTCACTGCTGCAGGCCCATGTGCTCCAGGGGCCCCCAGGGCTGTCCCCGACCTCCCTCCCAGGTCGGCTGAGGCTTGGGGTGTTCTCCACCTTCATCTGGAGTGTTCTACTTGTGCACGGGGACGGAGGAGTTCCGAAAATGACACTGGAAACCTGGAGAAGCTTCTGAGGGTCTTGGTGGCAGAACCCAGGGAGGTGAGGGGACAGGCCTCCTGTTCCTACCGGGCCAGGTCCCAGGCTCCAGGGGACCTCCCGGGGCTTGATGGAGCCACACAGAACCCAGTCTTCAAGCCCCCACTGGACGCCAGGCCTGTGGTTTGCCCAGCAGGCTGCCGCCACCCCATGGACAGGGTCGGGGCAGGCCCGGCAGAGTCAGGGAAGACAGCTGAGTCATGGGCCAGACACTCCTGCCCAGCCCCCACCCCTGCCCTGGGGCTCACAGGGGGTCCAGGCTCAGGAGAGTCCCTGCTGTGCTTAGGGACCTGGTGCACAGTTGTCAGAGCGGGTCTTTATGGTCCCCCCACCCCTGCGGCCACACTTGCCCTGACTCCGGGTTGGAGATGAGAGTCTGCCCAGCCTGTGAGCACAAACCTGACTCACCCGGGCTCTCGACCCAGGTGGCTGTTAGCCACGGCTGATAAGTGGGGCTGGGGGTCAGGGTGTCCTGCTCACTAATGAGTTACTCCCCCTGACCCCATCCTCTGCCTGTCCTCAGCGTGTCCCTGTGGCAGGAGCCACACGGCACATGGCCTTTTGTAACAGGCTGCTTTCACTCGGCAAGCGTTCCCACGGTTCATCCGTGTTGCAGCTTTTATCAGGTCCCTCCTGTTATGGCCAAATGATAGACAGTTGGCTGTGTAGATGCGCCCCACTCATCTGTCGGTGGGCACCGAGGTCCTTTCCACTGCTCAGCTGTCATGGGCAACGTGCTGCACACAAACGTCCCTGTGGAGCTTCCGTGGGGACCTGTCTTCGTCTGTCTTGGGGAATGAGCCAGGAGCGGCTGCAGCACGGGAACGGCCCGGCAGCGGCGGGGGGGACCCAGTCCCTCCACATCTGGACCATGCGGCTGCTCTCCCCTCTTCTTTTTTTTTTTTTTAAATATTTTATTTATTTATCTTATAGGGGAAGAGAAGGAGTGAGGAAGAGAAACATTAATGTATGGTTGCCTCTCATGCGTCCCTCGCTGGGAACTGGCCTGTAACCCAGGCATGTGCCCTGACTGGGAATCCAACCGTGATACTATGGTTCACAGGCCCGCGCTCAATCCACTGAGCTATGCCAGCCAGGGCCTCTCCCCTCTTCTTTTTTTTTTTTTTTTTTTTTTTGATTTCAGTTCAATGCATTAATATTTATTTGCAACCTGTCTTTTTTTTTTTTTTTTTTTTGTTTTTTGTTTTTTGTTTTTTTTTTTTTATTCATTTTTTTTCCCTCTTCCCCCCCCCCCCCCCCCGCCCGGTCTCCCCCCTCCCTCCCATTCCCCCCCCCCCAAGTCCTCATCTCTGTGTCATTCATACTTGTTCCTCAAAATCCCTCCCCCTTTTTCCCCTTAAGTTCCCTTCCCTCTCCCCTCTGGTCGCTGCCCACTTGTTCTCTATTTCCTCTCCCCTCTTCTTAAAGCCAGACTCGTGGCTTTGACTCCAGTTTCTTGAGGACTGATGACCTGGAGTGCCTTTTCGCGGGCTGCGGGCACTTGGCCTTTCCCCACTGGAGAAACGTCAGTTTGCGCCTTTTCGTTGAGTGTGATGAGGACGTGTTCTGGACCCTTCTCAGACGCGTGGTTTGCAGGTGTCTGCTCCCATCTCTCCCGTGAGCTTTGAGACGCAAAAGCTTTATCTTTGTTTCTTGGGTAGCTGTGTTTCTGCTCCCAGGTCTAGTGACCCAGTGTTGCGAAGACTTGCTGGTGTCTTCTCCTGAGAGTTTTGTAGTCTTAGCTCTTGTGTCCAGGTCGGCCCACTTGGAGGGGTTTCCGTACGTGGTGTGGGGGACGAGGGACTTCCTTCCGAATGTAGACATCCAGTCGTCCTAGCCCTGACAAGGGCACGTCCGTGTGGTCAGCCTGCTGCCATGTTGAAGCCACAGTGGGTGGCGCCAGGCAGGGGCCTCCTTGTGGGGCCGGAGGCTGCCCTGGGTCTCCCCACTCCCGGGGCAGCAAAGCCTCTGTGCCTTGCCACCCACGGCACTCGAGCCTCAAGCAGGAGGCCCTAGCGGTGGGCATGGAGCAGCTCTCCCCGGCACCGAGGGCAGGAGGTGCCTGGAGTCTCGGCTGCTCTGTGGGGCCGTTAGAGTCCCACCTCTGCCTGGGGCTGGGGGGCTGGACAGGAAATGGCCCTGCGCATTGGGGCTGCCCCCGTCCCCAGGCCCTTTGGGTCCAGCGCCCAGGGCACTTTTCCTCCTCGTTCCACTGCCCCATCCCATCCTGAGCTATGGGCGGGGTTGGGGGTCCTCAGGTCTCCCCCTGCCCAGCTAGGCCCTGGGAGCGGGGCTAGGACGCAGGGAAACATGAATCGGTGGAACCTGCACTCAGCGCTTCCCTCAGGCTGGATCCCCTCACCTCCCTGTTTGCTGCCTGGGCCCGAGCTGCCCTTCCAGCCTCTGTGCGAGGGTCCCACTGCCTGCTACTCCCTCCCCTCCTCCTGGAGGCCCCCAGCCCCGCTCTGCTGCTGCCCACAGGCCTGTCCCCGCCCTGTGTCCCACAGGCACAGGGAAGTGACACTCCATAGCTCGGGAGCAGCTGTCTACCTCATCTGTGGATGTCTGCCCCCGGGTCTGGGCTGAGTGAGGTGTCACTAAGAAGCTGTGAGGGGCCAGGCAAAGATGTAGGATGCTGTCTGTGAAAGGCTGGTGCCAGAAGCCCCACTGTGGTGTGGGGTGTGGCCCTCCCATGGCTGGGCCTGGTCCCCAGCACCCACAGTCTCTGGCGGTGGAGCCCGGGACAGAGCTGGTGGCTGCATCATCTCTGCTGGCAGTGGCCCACTCCTGTGGCCTGTCCAGGGTCTGAGGGCAGCCAAGTGGTACCTGCCGACCAGGTGAGGTTTGGCACCTGTCATAGGTTGGGGACAGCTGTGGAGGCTGGCTGAGCTCGACACCTCACACACAGACCCTCCTCAGTTAGGGGCCTAGCCCAGGGGCCGCCCAGTGAAAACACACTGCCCCACACTCCTGTCCAGGCCTCCAGCCCCAGCCCTCAAACGTAGTGGCCACTTCTTGGGCCTTGGACCTGCAGCCAGATGGTGCTCAACTTCTCCCTGTGGCCGTCTCTGGCCTCCAGGGTTCCCCTGCAGGTCCCAACGCTCCCCCCACCTCCCCTCACCCGCGCCCACCCACCTGGAGAGTGGGATCTGGAGCTGTAGCTCCCCACATGCCCCCCAATCTCAGTTCGAAGCATCCCAACCCCTGCCCCAAGCCAAGGCGGAGGATGGGCATCTCTTCCCCGGGCCAGGTGGAGGGTGGCAGCCAGGCTTTGTGGGGCAGTGGGAGTGGGCGTGGCTGTGGGCCAGGCTCTGCACATCTCCTCTAGCCCGTGCGGAGCCGGAGGCCTTGCACGGCCTTCCTGTGCCAACCGCAGCCCTTCCTCCCCATGACTCGGCACCCACTGCTCCCCGAGGGACCGCCCAGGGGCTCGGGGGGGAGGGCAGGACACCTCCTAGGGGCAGCTGACGGCTCTTGTCCATCCCTTGTCCTCACAGTGACTCCAGCTCAAGGGTAGGCTTTCGTGTGGGGCGTGTGAAACCAGGAGGTGTGCTGGGTTGCCCAGGGCCTCACAGGCTCTTGGCTTCCCTCTTGGTTTCCTCCTCATGCAGAGGTGGACATTGTGGTCCCTGGGGCCTGAGAGGTATGCTTCAAGCCCCACCAGGGCACCCCCAGGCCCAGAGTCACCTTCCACTCACTGGCTGTCTTCTACGCAGTGGGCAGGATGGCAAAGATGGACGCCAGCCCCCTTTAAAGACACCTGGGGGGGCGTCCACGTGGCCAGATGCTCGCCCGCTTGGTGCCCACTGTACAGACATCCCTCACTGGGCCCTGGGAAGACCCTCACACCTTCCACTTCCCACGCAGCCTGGCTTATTGATCTGCCTGATAGTTAATGCCTCCTGGCAGCTCCTGCTGCAGCTCCTGCTGCAGAAGCTGCCTCCGCTGCAGAGCCTGGAGAGAACAGCAGAGCCTTTCTTAGGGTTAACCGTATTGGGACGTTTGTCCAGCACTGGCACAACCAACTTAGGGACCAGCCCTGGGCAGCACCCATGCCCTGAGGGTAGAGAAAACGTTCGGACCGGAGGGGCTTCTGTGCCCATCTCTGCTTAGAGATCCACCTCCTGGGCGGGCCACCTCCACCAGTGCCACCTCCAGGCGGGTTGAGCACACATTTTGTCTTCACTTGGGGCAATTGTGTCCCCCTCAGCTCCAGAGGACGCTCACACTCCAGTGACCAGTGTCCCTACCCAGAAACTGCCTGCAAAGGTGCTTTTGTTTCTCTTTGTAACGTGTGGTCCAACACATGCACAAAAGCGCACCGGCTGTAAGCGCTCACGGGGGACGAAGTCTCACAAACCAAACCTTCCAACAGGGCCCAGACCCGGAGACCTGCGCGCCCGCGCCCTGTCACTACCGGAGGGACGCGCACCACCCCCTGCAGCCCCACCCGCCCAGATGCAGCCTCGCATCCTGCGCAGTGCCCCCGGGCCCCCTGCGGCCCCGGCCGCGGCTCAGGTTCACTCTCTGGGTTCAAGACGGGAGCGCTCCGGGAGCTCCGGTCCTGGAGACGCCTCAGGTCCTCCAGCCCACCCCCGACGGTCCGAGGCCCTCCTCACTCTGCTGGCCCGGCTCAGAGTCGGGTCGGCCGGGTGCCCCATATTCCCCCCGGCGCCCGCGCACCGGCCAGGGAGGGGCCGGGAGGGGCCGGGAGGGGCGGTAGGAACCTGGAGGCCGGCTCACGTTTCCCATCGGCGGAACCTGAGCGCTGCACCGCGCTCGCCCGGACGGTGGCGGACGGACTTGTGTCGCTATGGCAATGCGACAGGAGCTGGGGTTGCTCAGGGTCCCGAGCCCTGCGTGAGGCGAAGGCGCGGCGCAAGGCCTGGGGCGCGGCGCGGACGCGGGAGGGTCCTTCGCTCGCGGCCTCTCGTCGCTTTCCGGAAAAAGCTCTGAGAAACTCAAGACTTTGCAGGCCGCGGTGTGTGGACGCCCGGAGCCAGGCGGGCCGCCAGGATCCCCGCGCGGAGTCCCGCAGCCCCAGCAGACGCTCGCCGGCTCCAGATTTGTGCGGCTCAACACTCTGCTCCCTGCGGCGCCCATAGGTGAGGCTGCCAGAGAGGACAGGTTCTAACCCAGGCAGTCTGCTTCGGGACGGTGGTTGAGAAATTATTTGGGACTTATTTAAAAGTGTCAGAGGCAGTACAGGGATTTGCCCCGTTCCTTTTGCCGAGATCCCCCGACCACCTTCAGGAGCACAGTTGGTTTGGCAGGCTAACCAATTTTGCTACAGGGAACTCGGGAGCCCAAGGCTGTAGCCTGAGTCACGCATGAGGCCACCTAAGTCATAGCCTTGGGTGACAAATTGCATGTGAAAGGCTGTTGTTATGGGCCCTGGAGGCACCACCAAGAGATTCCAGGAGGTGACAAGCTAACCTTGTTTCCGCAGTGTAGGCAAGCCCTGGAGAGGCACCCAACCCCGTGTGTCCCAGGGAGGGACCGCCTCTGATGCAGATAAAGAACTAAGATCAGATACAGAAATACTAGGAAATTTGGCTCTGCTCAATCTTTCCCCCAAACCTCTTACCTACCCTTTTCTTCTCAAAAAAAGATTGACTTGAGATGGGAAGTTAAGAAAGGCTTTAGGCTCCGTATCCCACTGTCTTCTCAGATCGGCACCTGAATAAAGCAGCAGTAAAGGTTCGATCCTGGTCTCTACTGAGTGGCTCTGGTAGCGACGGCAGCACAGCCGCCTGTCCCGATTTCAAAACCAGGATCCCGAGGACAGGATTTGTTCACGTACTGCACGGGCGACTTTACCGCCCAGGGTGCAGCCCACGACCATCCTGCTTTCCTCTTCTTCTGTCCGGAACAATTCGCAGTCTGGCTTTGACTTTAGAGTCCGTTACTTTGTAGACTCCTCCTCAGTTTGGATTTATCTGACGGCTCCTCATGGTTAACAATGTCAAGTTACGCACTTTTGGTAAGAAAACCTGAACAGTGAAATTGTGTTCTTCTCCATGCATCTCAGCAGCAGGCAGATGATGTCACTTTGTCCCATTACTGACTGGTCACATGGCCTGCGTGGTGTCTCCCAGGGTCTCTGTCAGAGTTCGTCATATTTCCCTTTGTGAGTAGTAAGCACCTCGTGGGGAGAGGCCTGGAGACTGAGTCTCCTGTTTGTGGCCGTGCTGCTCGTCGCTGACCCCAGTGTCCAGTCCACGAACTAGTGTTTTCGGACGCAGACGTGTCATTCTTTCCAAATGGTGACGTTTCCCCGTTACTGTTATTCCTTCCACGTTCATTAGTAGGGTTGTAGAAAAGAGTCTTTCCATTTTCCTGTTTATTCTGTTAGTTGTGTTGTTATTGACAGTTTTTCCTTCATTCCATGGGTTATAATCCGTTACCACCATTTATGCTGTTGCTCTGCTGGTCCAGATTCAGGCGTTGGGCACCCCTTCGAGCTGGGTCCTGCGCCCTGTCCGCACATCCCGCTGTTCTGACCACTCCAGGCGCATCTTGTGCTTCTTGTGACCGAGCCTGGACTCAGTTGCTTCTCTCAGGAAAGAAGCTGCTGCTTCTGCTGTAGAAAGTGGTGCTTAGAAATCAAGGTCTGGCCCTGGCTGGTGTGGCTCAGTGGACTGAGCACCGGCCTGTGAACCAAAGGGTCGCCGGTTTGATTCCCAGTCAGGGCACCCGTTTGAGTCCCAGTCAGGGCACATACCTGGGTTGCTGGCCAGGTCCCCAGTAGGGGGTGCACAAGAGGCAACCACACACTGATGTTTCAACCCCTCTCTTTCTCCCTTCCTCTCTCTGTAAGTAAATAAGAACAATCTTTAAAACAGTAAAAGAAATCAAGCTCTGGCCACAGATGTGTCCTTGCGGCCAGAACATCACTGCTCATGGCTTTCCCCACAGGCAGAGCCAGGAAACATCTGCACACACGCGCACGCCCGTGTTGGCCTCCGCTCCTCTGTGCCTGGGCGTGCACTCAGGAGGGGGTCAGGCTGGTGCCTGCGGTTCCCGTCCCTCACCCTGGCCTCGCTCTGCACCCCTTCTCACTGGACCTGGCCCACTGCCCTCAGGTGATGGATGCATCTGCTCAGTCCTGGGCCATGGTGTAAAGTCTCTTCGCAATCACCACCCTGTATTTCTGTGAAAAGCAGACCTAGCTGGAGTCTGATGTTTGCACACAGTTGTTTTTGCTTTATCCTCAGAACGCACAGTCAGAACTCCACTGTCCGGCGGAGTTGGCTTCAGTGTGGTTATGTTGCGTGGACCAGGCCAGGGCGTTTGGTGCTCTTAGAGTCACTGGGGTGAGGTGTTGGTGTGGGGAACAGCCACATGCTTCTGACAGTCGGTGGGTCTGAGCGCGTAGCCGCCGGAACGTTCTCCTCTTGCATCTTATTTCTCGTCTGCTCATTCGTGTGGGGAGGGAGCTCGGCAGGTGTCAGTGGAAACAGAAAAGCCCTGCCTGCCCTCGCTGCGTGGCGCCCGTGACCCAGCCGGTGCCAGGGAAGGGACTGGCGTCCGTCTACTCTCCGCTCCTCCTTCTGGTTTGACAGGTGGCGGTGTGTGGGGTCTGGCCACCTGTGAAGGGCGGGGAGGAAGGCTTGGGGTCACAGGGCCTCCCTCAGTGGTGTGCTCCGAGTGCAGCTCAGGCTGCCTCTGCCGTGCAGCCGGGGGTGCTGGTGTGGCTTCCACCGCCAGCGAAGCCCCTGAGCTTCCCTCAGCCTCGAGGGAGTGTTTTGTGAATCAAGCTCAGAGCACGCATTCACACAGCAGCAGTGAGGCCACACTCCCTGCCACAGCAGGCATGGGGTCTGCTGCACCGGGTACGTGGGGGCGGATCCCAGTGGCCGAGGGGACGGCCAGGTGCATCCGGAGCCGGTGCTTCCGGGCAGCAGGTGCACAGGTGCCTGCTTCGGGGTCTGCCCAGCTGAGGTGTCTGGACCACTTGCTCAGAGGCGCCTCGTGTCTGACTTTAGGCCTTTGCTGGTGGTCCCTCTGTGTGCCTGGTGGGGTCTGTGCCTGCAGGCGCTGGGTCGAGGTGACGCGGGGCTCCCCAGATGTCCATGTGGACACAAGCGGCTCCAGGTTTTGGTCGGCCACACAGGGGTGTGACTGATGGCACTGTCATGTGTCTGGGTTGGGTGGCCTGCGGCGCCTCTCTGACTTTGATGTTCCCACCCACTCACTGTGTGACAACCACCCGTGGAGGCCAGAGCGCCACTTCCTTGTCCTACGCCTGGGCTGTCCCTGACCCTCGTGGCTGGCCTGGCCTGGCCCTGGTTTCCCAGAGAGCCTGTCATCAGCACAGGGCCCTGGCCTGACATGCGCTGCATGCATGTTACCTATAACCGGTGTCACGTGTGTACATTACTTCCTGTGTGTGTGGCGTCCCACCTTTGACAGACATGTCCCTTGTGCTGTGTGTCCCATGTATGTCACTCATGGTGTGTATGCCCCTCAGGACCCTCGAGGCCTGGGCCCTTGGGGAGCCCCTGGCACTGCAGCACTGGTGTGACCAGGCAGTGGGGAGCTGGCCCGGAGCCCCTGCTGCCTCCGGTGGTGACAGCAGCCAGTGTCAGCCAGGCTTCCCAGGGACCGTGTGTGTGGACAGTGAGAGTCCCTGACAGAGCCTTCCCCTCTCGCTGCAGCTGCTGCGATGCCGCCCCCTCCCTCGGAGCAGGCCCTGAGCAAGCTGCTGGCTCGCAAGGAGGAGGAGTGGAGGGCGCTGCAGGCCCAGCGCTCCCAGCTGCAGGAGGCGGCGCTGCAGGAGGTGCACGGCCGGCTGGAGGAGGCCCAGCGCAGGCTGCAGTGCCTGCAGGAGGACTTCCTCTACAACCTGCAGGTGCTAGAGGAGCGGGACCGCGAGCTGGAGCGCTATGATGCCGCCTTCGCCCAGGCCCGACGGCTGGAGGAGGCCCGGCAGGCCGAGGTGAGCGAGCTCAAGGTCGAGGCGGCCAGGCTGCGGCAGAGGCTGGCCAGGGAGGCCCAGCGGCTGGAGGACCTGCAGCAGCAGCAGCAGCGGAGGGAGCACGAGCACCGCCTGGAGCTACAGCGGGTCCACAGGTGGGAACACACCGCCCCTTCCCCATGCGCCCACCTACATCCCTGTCAGCGGGCACCTGGCTGTCCACTCGGACAGGCCCAGAGCCAGGCAGCAGGCCCGTGGACCAGGCAGCATGTCCACGCCCCACACGGCCTCCCTGGGATCCCGGGAAAGAGCTGTGGCCTCTGCCAAGGCCAGCTCACCCGGAGCCCGCTGGGTCTCGACCACCAACCCGCCATTGGCAGGGCCGCTGCAGAGGGCGCTGGTGCAGGCGCAGGGCCCGAGGCTGGTGTGGCCGCCCCGCCCCCCGCGGGCTGTGTGTCTCACTCCTCACACCTGCTGAGTGTCCAGAGTGTCCTCGAGGTGCGTTTCGTTACTCTGTCAAGTGTCTCCTCAGGTCCTTTGCCCACTTACTGTTGCCACATTTGGGGCATTTTTAGCCATTAGTTTCTTGGAATGCATTTCCGTCCCACCCTCTGTGCCCTTGGACCCGGGGACATGGACGCTGGCGCTTTTGTTTCCGTCCCGCGGGTCCCCTTGGTTCCGTTAGCCTGTGTTTTTCATCTGCCTGCCTCCGTTCTTTGGTCAGGTGGTGTCCGTTGTTCTGTCCGCAAGTCCTGGGTCTTTCGCCTGTCATCCCCGTTCTGCAGTCGAGACTGGGGTTCTTGCTCTTGTCAGCTCCCAGACGTCCGCCGGACCCTCTGCCGTGTCTCCTCTCCCTCTGCCGAGGGTCCCCTTTGTTCTGAACGGGTCCGGCGTTGCCGGCTGGGCTTGTCGACGGGGGGGCTTTTAGACTTGGTGGGGCAGTGCTGGCCTCTGTCCCCTCGGCGTCGGCATCTGCTGACCTCCCGTTTTATCTGAGAAGAGGTCTTCCCGGCCTCGCTGGGGGCTCTGTGACGAGGCTGTGCATGGCGACTCCGGGCAGCAGAGGCCACCTGTTGCGACTGACACCGAGTATAATGCACAGGCTGCAGCAACCCTGTGGAGAAGAAGGGGACTGACCACACGGCCACTCTCAGGGGGAGACCGCCGGGACCCTCGCCTGGACAGGCTTCTATTGTTTTTCTCGGGTCCTACATCAGAGGAAGCTTTATTATCTCACATAGAATATTATTGTCTACGTTTTAGGTACAATCGAGAAAATGAAAATAACATGCAGAGGTGAAAGGCGATGAGCTGATTAGCTCTGTCCTTGGGGAAAGTTCACACAGGCTTTGGAAATTACCCTGAAGATAGATGATACGTATTTGTTGTTTAAGACCAGGGTGAGGGAGTTTTAGCAAGAGGGAGCCATGACGGTCTGTGTGCATTTTCTAGGCCTGATTCCCCTGGGAAAAGTCGGTTTGAAGGTCTGGCTCCCGCCCACCACTTTGCTTCTGTAGGTTTTCGGTTCAGAGCTGAGTCCCATTTGCCAGACCAAAACAAACCGCTCCCCTACAGCTCTGCCCCCTTCCACGTGCTCTGTTGCAGGCAGTCACCTGTCTGGGTGTAGTGAGCAGGTGGGGGTGGGTGTGAGCGCAGCCCCCTGCTCCCACTGCAGCCACCTCTGCAGAGCAAAGCCCCGGCTCATGCCTCTAAAGCTCGCCCGGCAGCGGTGTCCTCCTGTGGACCGCTGCCCAGGTCTCGCCTCAGCGCAGTTGTCTCCACACAGTGACAAGAACGGAGAGGTCGACCAGCAGCGGGAACAGTACGAGAAGCTGAAGTGGGCGCTGGAGAGGAAGCTCGAGGAGCTCGACGGCCAGCTTGCCCTGCAGAGGCAGGTGGGACGTGTGGCGACGGGTCCCTGTGCAGGCCGCCCTGTCCTGAGTGCCCGAGGGGCACGGAGATGACCGTCACGGGCTGCCCAGGGTCCCCGGGGCCCAGGCTGGATGGAGGGCGGGCCCTCTGCGGGGAGCCTGCGGGGTCTCTCTCCGCAGTGGCTGCCCGGCGTGAGCTGGAAGGGGGCGCTGTCAGTGGCCGTGGAAGAGCGGGGTTCACTTTGGGAGCCTGTGTTCCCGTCAGAAGCAGAGGAAGTAACTGTAAGCCTAACTGTAGATTTGCCAGCAGACAGGCGACACCTCGCCCTGTCACCGAAACCTCTCCTCAGTTTCGGTGACTGTGCCTGACGTCCAGATGCCCCGGCCGTGCCTCGGCCCGTGTGCCGTGAGGCCTCCTTCCGGGCTGTGCCGGGCTGGGCCTGTGGCTGTGGCTGGTGTTTAAGGAGCCTCCTCCCCGAAGCCCCTCGTGACGCGGGAGCTTCCCTGCTCCCCACAAGGCAGGCGCAGGTGGGGCAGGGGCATGAGGTGGCCCGCCCGGTCCCCTCAGCAAGTGTCAGAGCTGCCACCTGAGTCCCAGACGTCCCCAGCACAGGAACTCTCACGCTGTCCCTCTGGGAGCCATGCTGAGCGAGCGCCCACGTGTTGGGCAGAGCCCTGTGGTCCTGCACGGGGTCAGCGCTCTCCGGAACGACAGGCCTGCCCTGCCAGCCCACTGGCCCTGGCACAGCGTCAGCCCGAGGCAGGGTGGCGTCGCAGAGGCATTTGTAGACTCGGCTGCCCCTTCACACGGCCACGCCCACCCACCAGGGCACGGGGGGCGCAGCAGCCCGCCCTTCCCTGCCGGTGCTCACAGCCCCTGCGGAGCCCTTCTTCGTCTGCCGTGGGCAGGTTTGACACCCGGGCCCAGCCTGCGTTCTTGGGCACAAAGTGGGGCTGGGCTGGGCGACAAGAAAAGACCGTCCTGACTTTTCTGACAGCGAGGAGGTTTCCTCACATGCGCCAGGTCACTTCCGAAGAGGGCGCTTCCGGGGCTCCAGGCAGGGGAGCGTTTGTCCGGGGGCTCAGTCCGAGGCACGCCTGTGCCGGGGTGGGGCCCATCTGGGGCCCCGCCCTGCTGGCCCCTGCGCTCCAGCTGTGGACTGGTCCCCGTCTCATGCCCATTATCGACTCGGAAGTGGAGTCAACTCCTTGCTGATGAACAGCACCTCTCTCTTTAGAAGGCTGTGTGAGGCGAGGGGTCCGCACGGCCCACCCACTGCAGGTCGTGCCGCTGGGGTGGCTTGGGGTCAGGGCCCCTGGGGCGATGGATGGAGGGGCATCACCTGCGGGACACGGTGGGCGGGGCTGACCTCTTACCTTGGACAGGGCGGTCAGAATGGTGTCCTGAAAATGGGACACACGAGCCTGTGTCTGCAGGTGAGGAGGGTCAGGGAGCTGCGGGCACCCGTTTGCCCAGGGAGTTTGGCGCCAGTGTTGGGGTGCGGGGCGCTCTGGGGGCGGGGCTCACGGGCTCTCGCCAGGAGGGGCTTTGCTCCAGGTGCAAGGGCACCAGCTCTGGCCTTGGCGCAGATGCCCGGTGAGCTCAGTCATGACTCTCCTGGGCTGGCCGAGACCGTCATTTGGTTGTCCTGTGCGATGGCTGTAGTGGTGCCTAGTTGTCTTTAGCTTCATTCGGAACAGTTTTGTTAGACTGTATTGTGACAGCTGTCACATCAGCGTGCGTTTAAAAAAGCATACCAAAATTGGTGAATTTTTGTGGCCATTTTAATATTGAAGATGGAAGAAAATGCACACGTTTTTGGCGTGTTTGCTTTATGATTTCAAGAAAGGTGAAAGTGGGAGTGAAACACGAAAGGAAGCTTTGTTCCGTGTGTGGAGAAGGTGCCGCCACTGACCGGCCCTGTCGGACGTGGTTTGTGGGGTTTCGCGCTGGACGATGCTGCACGGTGGGGGGGCCGGCTGAGACTGACAGTCGGAGATTTCCCTTGATCTAAGTGAGACGTTGATTTTGAACAGTCAATGTTCTACTACGTGAGAGATCTCCAACGTACTCAAAATATCCAAGTCAATCAAGTTATTGGAGAAAATGAAAAGTGTGCCTTTTAAGTTTACGAGAAAAAGCCAAATGGCCTTTGTGGCCCGACAAGAGCCTGTCTGCTGCTGGGCTGAGGACGGGCTGTGGGGCCGGAGAAGTGGGCGGGTTCTGGGGACACCTGGAATGAGGAGGTGGGAGAGACAGGTGCTGAGGACACGCTGACGTGCCATGCACTGAGCTGGGGTCGTGCGGGGAGGGTGTTTGCCTGGGCCACGTAGCAGGGGGCCTCTGAGATGGGGGTGGGGCCCCCCAGGGGTGAACAGAGACCACAAGCTGTCTGGTGGGGACCATCCTGCTTGAGCCATGACTGGGGAGACTGGGCAGCTGAGGGACTTCAGCTGCAGGGCGCCAGAGAGGGAGGACAGGGAGAGGACTCGCGGGGCAAGAGAAGAGGGTGACCAGGAGGCAGGCGTGTCTGCGGGTGGCCCAGCCCCTGGGCTAACAGGCCACTTATGGAAGGGGGACTCTGGACTGCCCTCCCAGTGGGCCCTCTGCGGGGCAGGAGGCTCTTCCCAGCAGGAGGGACGCCAGGTGGGGCCCCAGCACGGAGCAGAAAGTGTCGGCACTGGTTTGTGAGTGCTGGTCTCCGTGGGGTCCGGCCCCGTTCACCACAAGCCCTCCCTGCCCCAGGAGCTGCTGCTGGAGTTTGAATCTGAGACGAAGAGGCGGGAGCAGGCGTTCCGGCTGCATGTGGACAGCGTGAGCGGTGTGGTCTTGGCACATGAGCTCAAGGTAGTGGGCACGTCTGCAGGGCTGGGGCCTGAGCTGGGGGTTGGGTCCCCACAAGGCCCCTCCTTTGCAGGAGGGTGGCGCTGCCAGGGCCTGGGGGAGGGCACGCGTGCCCTGCCTTTGGCACCAAGATGGGGTCTGGTCTGCAGGGGTCGGGTCAGCAGGGTTGGTGGATGTTGGGGCAGCACCCACCCTGCCCAGCAGCCCTGCAGGGGCCCAGCCCCTCTCAGTCCCCTGGGCCTGCCCTTCTGAGCAAGTCCCTGGACCACTCCCCCCAGAGGAGTGCTGCCCAGACCTCGAGGCTGGGGCTCAAGACCCTCACCAGGGCGCCAGGGGAGAAGGATGCGTGGGGGCCACCCTGTGCCCCACGGTGTCGGGCGCTCGCTGAGGGGAGGGGCTGCAGGGTGGGAGGGCTGTGCAACCCCACTCCCCGGGGCAGCAACCATTACGTCCCCTGACCCTGCATGGAGGAAAGTGATGCCAGAGAGGTTGTTTAAAACTGGAGTGCGTGACCAGGGTTTGGGCCCCATTGTCTCAGCCCCCGCCTGCATGTGTGAGTCCAGATTTAAATACTACTCACAGCACGTGCCAGGCGATGAGGCAGGTCACGGGGCTGCTGGGGCCACGGGCTGGGTCTCGCAGGCCCCACTGGGGGTGCCCTGCTGCCAGCGGGGGGCGTGTGAGAACACTCTCTCCCATCCTGATACGGGGCTCCCGCAGCTCCAGTGCGGCTGCTGCAGCCTTGCTCTGAAGGCCCTTCCTGTCTTCCAGGTGAAGCTTCTGAATGAGGAGCTAGGGGCCCTGAGGAAGGCTGGTGCCCAGGCAGCCGAGTCTCTGCAGAGCGCCCAGGCTGCCAACTCGGAGCTGGAGGACAAGCTACAGCGGGCCGCCTGGGAGCTCAGGGACCTCGCCACCGTGAAGGACGCCCGGTGCGGGTCCCTCCTGCATCCTCTCTGGGGGAGGGGCTGCCCCGCTGCCCCCTGGGGACCCTGTCTGGACGGGGTGCCTGCCTGGGTCGCAGGCTGGCTTTCCTCCAGTACTTGCTTCTTTTCAGGATAAAGGAGTTGGAGGACAGACTTCAGTCTGCGCAGCTGACCTGGAAGAAAGAGGAGGAGACATTCAGGAGGAAGTGAGTATCTCTGGTGCCGATGGCACGAACAGGTCACACGGACACTTGGTCTCGATGGCCCGACTCCGCTGGCAGTGCCGGCGTGCAGTCCTGGCTTGTGGCCTTGGCCAGAGAGGCTGGAGAAGCACTGTCCCTCCCGGTCTGTTTTCAAGGCTACATCGAGAACCTTTTAAACTGGAAATTGAAATCGTTGACAATGAATATGATTTCCAGCGTACCACAAACACTAGCATCAAGAGCTACAACGGCTCAGTGACTCTGGTGTGTGCCGAAACGCCGTGGCAGCGCCACCCCCACTGCCTCCCCAAGGTCAGAGCGTGCAGGCCGCAGAGGGCTGCCCCCTCTCCCTGCGGGGCTCCTGTCACAGCTCCACCTGCCCTCAGCAGTGTCACCTGAGCAGAGGGCTGCTCCCCTGCAGACAGCAGTGCGAGCCCATACAGGAGGACGTGGGACTCGCTGGGGTCACGTTCCTACGCCGAGACGTTGCGACGATCATGAGCTCGGACTCGACCGAACAGCAGCAGAGCTGCAGAGCCAGTGCCGTTGTCGGAACTGTCATGGGTGCCCGGGAGTGAGCCGCTCTGCTGCCAGATGAGGGCGCCCTGTGGCCCCCACGCCCGGCCGGGACCTGCTGGGCTCCAGCAGCTCCACCCGAGCCGAGCGCCTCCCAGGTCACACGCCGAGAGCCGCCCCCCAGGAATGGCACTGGGCCGTCCGCCGGCCGTGCCTGCGGCCCTGGAGGCCAGAGGCCAGGCAGCACCCGCCGGCACGGGGTCTGCACCCCACGGGCAGTGTCGTCCACCCTGGCAGCTTCCCCCGTTCAGGGAAAAGGCCTTGCAAAGACGTGTTCCGTGACCGTTGCGTGTGTCTGCCTACTTATGAGGACCCGGGACCCCCGGTGTGTGGACACAGGGAGGTCCCTGGCCGCTGGGGCGTGTGCCCATGGGCTGGCACGGCGGCTGTGAAACTCCTCTCAGCTCCCAGTCCTCGGAACCTCCGACACGCACCTGGGCTTCAGCCAGGGCAGGGCTCACGCCCCCGGGCCACCTTCCTGCGCAGCCCAGATGCGCCTCCGCACATGGTGGGCGTGTGGTCGCCGGGCGCGCCTCGACTGCGGAGGAGGACTTCAGTGCGAAGGTGCCGACCACTGACTCCATGTACTGGAGCGTGGTCACCAGGCGCCTTGTCGGCTGAGCTGCCACTCAGGCGACACGCGTGTGCGTGTCATTGGCCTGAGACCTGGTGTTTTGCCTTTGAAGACAGAAAACCTCCACCGTTCCTCCCGCCCAGTGGGCGGGCCTTTCCCCCCACTTGGTGAGGGAGGAGGCAGACGCGGGCGAGCAAGGGGGCGGGTGCCTGGGCTCGAGGCGCGGCCTGGATGCTGGTCCTGGCACAACGCCAACGGGGCTGAGAGGAGTCACGGGAAGCGCAGTTTTCAGGGCTTTTTACTTCCGTGGGACAAAATAAAACAGGTCATGAACATCACCTGCCAGGCGTCAGCAGCACACACAGCAGCCTGGTATGTGCTCAGGATGGATGTCTCTCTTGGTGACCGTGTCCCTCAGTGCGTCCCTCCCTTGGCAGTGCAGGGTGGGCCTGCCCCCTGGAGCCCAAGCAGGGAAGGGGGCTCACAGTGAACCCACAGCACTTTGCTTTCAGGTGTCACAGGGATGCTGCTGGTGGCATCACAGGTGCCCTTGACTGAAGCACCTGCTTCTGGCTCTTTCTGCTGAGAGGCTGCCAGCTTTGGGGGGGCTGCGTCTGGTGCCCCCAGCCGCTCAGCCCCAGCTCCATGGGCGGTGACGGGCAAAGGAGTGGTCTTCCACCCCATGACGACGCCCGCAGAGCCCCCACCCCTCAGGGCTGGGGGGTGCCACGCCCAGGGCGCACAGCAGGCCCTACGTGAGCCCTGTGGGCCTCGTTGTCTTTCAGGCACGAGGAGCTGGACCGCACGGCCCGGGAAAGGGACACGGTGCTGGTGTCGGTGAAGGATGCCCACGCGGAGCAGCTGCGGGCGCTGGAGGCCCGGGTCCTGGAGCTGCAGGCCCAGTGCGAGGCCCTGGAGCTGCAGGCCCGCCGGGCCGAGTGGAGGCAGGCGGACGCGCTGAAGGAGAAGGACAGCGCCATCGCCCAGTGAGCAGGCCCAGGGAGTGTGCTGGCGAGCGCTTACAGGCCGTTAGACCCGCCGGGAGAGTCGCTGCTCATCTGCTCTGCCTTTCCCTCCGTGTGGCCGGGCCAGTGCTCAGGAGCCCGAAGCAGGCGCTTCGCCGGGTCCCTGTGGTCCCAGCATGAATGTTGCTGAAACTTCTGGGGGAAGAGTCTGTTTTCTGGTGATTTTACCAGGGAAGCGAAGGGCACTTCAGACCCTCATTTACTATTCAGTTTGAAAACACGCGAAAAATGTTTCCATGTCAAGGGACAGGGCCAGCCAAGGTGGCAGGCCCTGGAGAACCCGTGCACCTGGCAGGGCTGGGCTATTCCTGTGGCAGTGGCTTGGCCGGCCCCGGGCTGGTGGGAGGGACCGTCTGCTGCTCTAGGTGGGGAGGCCTCCCCCATGTGGACACAGGAAGGCGGAAGCGACACTGGCCTGCTGTGTCCGCCCCGGGGACACGCCGTGGGTGTGCGTCAGTCTGGGCATGTGTGCGAGGCCTTGCACAGGAGAAACAGCACACACTCACCGCTGCCTTCCCACCTAGACTCCGGGAAGAGGCGTCCACTCTGAGGTCCGGCTGGGATGACCAAGTCGCCCAGCTGTCCAAGGAGATGACCTCCAGAGACCTGCGGATCCAGTCACTACAGCAGGAGGAGGCAGAGCTCCAGGCGCAGCTGGCCCGGTGCCAGCAGGACGTCAGCAGGTGGCTGTCCCCCGGGCACTGGGCGCCATCCTGGGCCCCGAGCCCCTGGTCCGCATCCTACCTGGGGAGAGAGACAAGAGCAGACACAGGAACAGGGTTTTCCTCAGTTGACTTGCCGTGGTCAGTTCCACTGGTGTCTGTGCTTTTGGGTACTTTCTTTCTTCTGAGTTTAGCTTTAATTCCATGTTGTTTTCAGGATTTCTGAGGCAGGATCTTAGATGATTAACTTTGGACCATTCCCCTTTTCAAAGAAATACAAGTGTATATTTCCTAATTTCCTTGTGATCTTTTCTTTGGTCCATGGGTTACTGTGGACCAAAGAAATGTGTGGCTTACTTCCCCGTTGTTTTGACATTTCGGGTACCATTTTGTCACCGATCTCTTGCTCAGCGCTGGTATGTGCACGTTCGGCAGGGCGCACTGGCTTCAGGGCTTCAGGGCTTGTCCTCTCCCGGTGACTCATGGGGGCTGAAGGGCCGGGCCCTCTCTGGGGTCCAGGCAGCCCTCGAGGTTCTGCTGGTTGCCAGCACAGGGCTCGGAGTCTGCACCCTGCCCCGGGGTGGGCCGCCCTCCGCTCTGAGGGTGTGAGGGCAGGAGCCGGCCCGCAGGGCACTGGCTCCCGTGTTCTAACGGCCCCTCACCGCCCTCAGGAACTGCCCTCCTTCTGGGGAGGGCCTGCCCCTGCTCCGGGCCGATCGGTCCCTGGGTGGCCCCTCTGCCCCCGTTGCCTGTGCCGTTTTGTATTTAAGTGTGTTTCCTGCCTGTGTCCTTGGCTTAGTCCTGCCTTTTCTTCTACCTTGTGTGACAATCTTTGCTGCTCATTTGAGTGCTTAAATAATTTATTGCCATTATTGATATGTTTGGGTTTAAGTCTCCAGTTTGGTGCTTGTTTTCTATACCTTATGAGGTTTTTTTCCTGTCTTTAAAAAAATTGAGTATTTTTTAGGGTTTCATTTTCTTCCCACTGTTGTCTCAGTAAAACCTCTTTGTTCTGCCCTGGCCAGGTGGTCCACTGGGTTGGAGCATTGTCCCTACACCAGAAGGTTGCAGGTTTGACCCCTGGTTGGGGCAGGTATCAAGCCGATGGCTGTGCCTCTCCCCCACCCTCGTGCCTCTCTCTTCGACCAGCGAGTGTGTCCGAGGTGCAGACTGAGACGGCCCTTTGTTCTGCTGCTTCGGTGACTGTCCGAGAGCACAGTGCGCACAACGGGACCTCCTCACGACCTGCTGTTTCCTTCCCCCTTCTCACGCTGTCTCGTACACGTGGCTTTTTCACACTCAGTCACACACAGCGGTTTTTCGTTTGGTCGGAGAAGCGTCCTTCAGTTGAAAACTTAGAACTGACAGCAGAAGCTCTCTACTTTTTCCCACGTTTATTTCTGACGCTCTTGGTTTTCGCCAATCAGCGTCCACGTCTCCCTGCGTGTGGTTTTCTTCGCCCCCCCACCCCCGGCAGGCGCCGCACTGCGCCGTCTGGCGTGTCCGGGCTCCGTCTGTCTGAAGCCTTGTTCCCGCGGATGCAAGGTTCCAGGCGCGTCCTCCTGACCGACGGCTGGTCCACAGCGACTCGGTCGTCACGTGTGTGGGGGGCGGTGAGCGGGCGTGTGTCCTGGGCCCTCTGTGCGTGTGTCTGCGCGGGAAGTCCTGCTGCGTCTGACCTGCCGCTCCGGCCGCGAGTTCCCGCTTCACACCTTTCGCCATAGGTTCCTCCCCTCGCTGCGTGCACGGCCGCCTTCGGTCCCGAAGCGTGTTTTCGGCCGATTCCGTCATCACTGTCTCTGGTCGGTTCTGGGGGCTGAGAAGCCGGTTCCCGTGCGCCCTGCCTCTGCCCGTGCCGAGCTGCAAGCCTCCGCGGCTGTAGCTTTGCCTTCTCGAGGGGCCGCCGAGGCAGCTGGGTCAAGACCCCGCTTCCTCAGTGCCTCCCTCAGGGTTCTCACACCTGTCTGTGTGACCTCACTGCTGCTCTGTGACCAAGGCTGTGCACTGGGTGTCGTTCATTGGCACCCACTGGTTTCCTGGGCTCCAAGCTCCAGGCTCCAGGCTCCCGCCACGGCTTGGTGGGGTCCCTCCTCAGGGACCCAGGAGGCTGGCCCTGTGGTGTTGCTGGCCGCCCTCCACTCTGTGGCTCGGGCTCCCCTCCCGGCTCATTTAGGTGTCGTCGGCAGGGGCTGCTGTCAGTCCTTCCGGCCCTGTGGCCCTTACAGCCAGCGCCGACCTCTCGGCGGCCGATAGGCAGGCCGGAGGGCCACTCAGCACAGCGGACCCCTTGAGTGGCTCCTCCCTGTGCACAGCCCGGCCCTCACTGGGGAGGCTGCGCTGCCGCTCGAGGCCCAGCGTGTGGGGTGATCCCACCGGGTGCACGCTTTCTCCTCCGGCTCCTCGGTGGCTTCTTCCCTCCGCCCTGGTCTCTAGCCCTCCTGTTGGGTGGGTGTCTTCTGCACTCCAGAGGGCTCGCTCTTCCTGACCCTCCAGGTCACGGCTGTCCCCAGGCTGCATCCACAACGTTCCTCCCTCCGCATATTCCTCTCGGGTTTGCCTCCGAAGCTGAGGCCACCCCCCCACTGCCCCTGTCCCCTTCCTCCTGCACATTGACTTTTCTCTTGCTTGCGTTTGACCTTGACTGCGTCTTTCTCGGGCTGGTTCTCAGTGCTGGGGGCCCCTGGCTGTGTGGCCTGCTGCCTGAGGTGCGCGTCTCCTCCACATCCCAACACAAAGCCCTCGGCTGCCAGCCACGAGCAGGCTGGTGTGCGATGCGCAGGGACGGGCTGGCCCGGAACAGGCGGGAGGGTGTGGCCGCGGCCCGGGGCGCCCGTCTCCCCAGCTCTTCCCCCAGCAGGCCCCGAGGATGGGTGTCACCGGCGACTCTGGTGCCTGCAGGTACCAGCGGCAGCTGTCTCTGGCCACAGAGAGGGAGCAGAGCCTGGAGCGGGAGAAGGCCCAGCTGGGCCTGGACTGGCAGCGGCGCTGTGCCGGCCTGGAGAGGGACCACTACCGCCAGTCTGAGGAGCTGATCCAGGGGCTGAGCACGGCCAGAGAGCAGGTGCGTGCCCCAGGCCCTGCCCTGGGGCGCATGCTCCCTAGAGGCTGGATCTGGGCCAGTTACCCTTTGCTTTGGAAATGCCATTCTCAAGCACTTTGGCCTGTAACCACCCCAGCTGCCCTGACCCATGTGCCTTTGCCCTGCCACAGGCCTCTCATGGTGCTTCCCTAGCTGTGCGTCTGACTGGCCGGTCGGGACAGTGCCCAGGTCCCTTTGCAGCAGGTCCAGGCAGCCAGGGGTGGCAGGGACGAGATAGGGGGCCGAGCCGGGGGCCCCAGTATCTACCTGGAGTGGCGTGGGTATGGTCACTGTGCATCGCCAGACAGAGTCCCGCCCCCTGACCCTCCTGAGGTGAATGAGTCCCGCATTCCCCAGGTGGCTGCCAAGCTCCAGGAGGCAGAGCGGAAGCTGAGTGAGCAGGATGTGGTGCTGAAGGCTGTGACCCTCGAGAGAGACCAGGCTCTGCAGGCCCTGAGGACCCACGGGCTCCTCCCTGAGCAGGAGCTCCAGGTTAGCACCCCCAGCCTCCCCCACCCACATCTCTGCTGCCCCCCACCCCGCCCTGGGCTTGAGGGTGTGTGTTCGCTGCCTGTCTGTGTCCTCCGGCTTCTCCACAGCCAAGTGTGACCTGCTCCTCGACCCTGCCGTCTGGTCAGTTCCGTGTTTCAGATGATCTGGTTGTGTCTCCGCACAGGCCACACGGTCTCTTTTAAATGTCTCCCTTCTCTCCTCTCCCGCTCTCGTTCTTCCCTGAGCCCCTGAGCTTCTGTGCAGCGTGGACGCTGTGGCTTCCTGCCAGCCAGCCACTCCCACGGCAGCGCCCCTGCGCGCCCGCCCTCGAGTCCTTCCTCGGGCACTCCGTGCCTTGCGTTAGTTAGACTCCGCTTGTCCGAGTGTCCACGCCGGACGTCTGAGTGTTTCCACACGGTGGCCGTTACGGGTGCTGCCCGGCGGGCACGCGGGAGCCCGCCTCTGCACAGATTCCAGCGGCTCCCGTGGGTGCGGCCCTGGGAGCGGCGCCGCTCAGCCGCGGCGCGGTGGGCGTCGAGCGTCCGAGGGCCTGCCCGGCTTCTGCGGCGGCCGCCGGCGTCCGCTGTGCTGCTGCGTGCGGCTCCCTTTCTCCACAGAGGAGCCAGCACTCGCCCCGTCTGTGTCTTTATCACGGGCACCTGGCAGGTGACAAAGGGCTTTTCCGCTGGAAAGGAAGTGTCCCAAATTTCTCGATAAAAGTTACTTCTGAAAAACGGACTCACCTGGTGAAACCGAGAAGGAAGACGTGTTCCGTGCTTCTGTCCGTGCAAGCAGGGGCCGCTGCACGGTGTGGCTGCCAGACCAAGGGGGGCGCGGGGGGCAGGGCCGAGAGGGCCCCAGGCGCCTCCCCTCCTCTTCTCTTCTCTGGCAGGTGCTCCAGAGGCTCCAGGGAGAAGAAGCCAGTACAGGTTTCCTGTCCGGCGAGATCCGGCGGCTGCAGGAGCGGAACTCGAGCCTGCGAGACGCCGTGGCCCGCATGCGGACGGAGATGGAGGCTCTGAGCGAGCAGGTGCTGCCTCCCACCCCACGGGCCAGGGATGGAGACTCGGCCCAACCACCTCAGCCTGACGCACAGGCCACCACCCCTGGTGAGTGAGGGGCTAGAACGGTGCTCCACTGGGGCCTCCAGGTTTCTCAGGAGCTCAAGCTGAGCACCCTGGTCATCAACTGCATCCGAGTGGGACAGCACCTTCCCCCGGGGCTGGGGGCAGTTTCACACATGGGTAAAAAGTGGAAGGGAAGGTGAAGGGTGCCTGGTACACTTAAAAGCCAGAGTGAGACTCAGGCTGGGCTGGCCCACCGCTGGCAGACAGAGGCCTGTCCTGGGGAGGGTGCCTGCAGGGTGCAGCCGGTCCCCCAGCCACTGGGACAGAAGGGGTCCTGAGGCAGCTGTGGGTGGAGGGACCCCAGGCCGCTGAGGTGGCTGCTCTCAAGACTCCATGGCTGCATCTGTGACCAAAGCTGGCAGGGGTGCGGGAGGCGTGCATTCTTCTGAGGGGTGAGCCCCAGCTGAGCCCCTGCAAAGCCAGGCAAGCTGGCGCCCAGATGCTGCTCTGTGGTGGCCGGGGGCGGGGGGCATGGCCCATAGGCACCAGGACTCGGGGGGCAGAGGGGCAGTGAGGGGAGCAGGTCTGGCTGCTGGAGCCCTGCTGACGGCATGGGATGCGAACCTCCGTCCCTGCACGCACGTGCCCACCGGGCTGCGTGTTTTATTTGGCAGATTATGTTCTGGCCCTCGAAGCAGAAGTACAAAATCTCAAGGGCAAGTTTAAGATGCTGGAAGAACAGCTGGGAGATGTGCCAGAGCCCCCGAAGGCACCCTTGTCACAGAGCGAGGCCCCGCCCACTGTCCCTCCCGCAGCAGAAGGCACAGGTGAGCCTCCCGTCTGTGCTCCTCCGGCTCTGCCCCAGGAGCCTTTGTTCTAAACTGAAGTGTGAACACGGAGCTTGGGGCTCCCTTCCCAGCACCAGCGTCCCAATGCCCAGCCTGCTCACCTCCGTGCAGGGGGGCTCACGCAGCGCCTGCTTCGTCTGGCTCCTGGCCACCCTCACTGCGTGGTTGCGCTTCCTGTGCTCAGTGTCACTGCCAGGGGGCTGTGGGACGTGCTGCTTGTGGTTTGCTTTGGTTTCGCCCTGTTCCTCGAGAGGACCTCCCTGTGCTCGCTGGGGCCGGCAGGGTCTGCTCCGGCAGCTGGAACATAAGCAGCGGTCCTCCCTTCCCTGGGGCCTTTGTAAGTGGAAGGTCTCACTTTCGGGACAGACTTATTGATCGCCTATTGGCCGGTCCAGCCTCATGGGGCCGTCCTGGTTGTCTCCTTTTTCGTTGTTCTGACTCCGTTTCCAGCGAGAAGCCTGGCTCCCGGCGTCCACGGTCCACTCGCGTCTCCGTCACGCTGCCTGGACATGAGGCTCCTCCTTGGCTGTTTTGGGCTCTGACTGCCAGGCCCGGCTTCCTGCCGCACACACGGACACCCCTCACCCTGCTGGGTGTTGGCGCATGCAGACGGCTGCAGCCCCTCGTCTCAAACCACAGAAGTTCTTCCTTCCCCAGGGCTGCTGCCTTGTCTTTCTTCCCGGGTTTTGTTTTTTGGTCAGACTAAGGAAGTCTTTTTTTTATCATAGTTTTGCCCGTTTCTGCCCAGTGTGTTCTGGTGCTTGGTTGGTAGCTACACGGGTCTGGAGCTGCTCTGGTGCCTCACCCCCCCCCCCCCCGTGCGCCTCCCGTCCTTGGTGCTGAGGGCCATGGCAGTGGCCTCGCCCCTGAGTGCTCGCCTGGCAGCGGCCAGGCCGCCTGCTGCTGGTCCGTGTCTGCCTGTCGACCTTTGCGATCGACCCCGCTGTCAGCTCCGAGGGGCTTCCTGCAGGCAGCACATAGCTTTTACGTGGATTCCGCTCTCGTTTCAGTGGGCGCATCTGTGTTGCCTGAGGCCATCCCCAGCTGTGGGGTGGGGTGGGGGGCGTGCTGAGCAGAGCCGGCCCCCAAGCCCCTGCCGTGCAGACGCGGCCGGTTCCCACGTGGGCTCCTCTAGGCTCCACCCCGACACTGGGCCACAGGCCTTTCGGGGGAGCCCCTGGGGGTGTCGGCCTCGGAGTCACACGTTTGTCCTGTGTCCTCACCTCGCACGTTAGCTTTGCTCCCGCGTCCCGTCTGCTCTGCCAGGGGTGCTCTCTTTCGTTTCCTAAACGCGTGTCTGCACCCGGAGTGTCCAGCTTCTCTTGTGAAACAAGCTTCTGGGTGTGGACCTGCTTCTGGAGTTCTGTCCCCAGTGTCTTCACGACAGTCAGCCGAGGACGATTCCCAACGTCCCCTGTGCTTCCTCAGGCCCCGTGGCTGTTTGATGTCTTTCTGAACACCACTCAGATGAGGAGGGGGGCGGGGGGTCTTCCTGCAGGGAGCCCTGCTTCCTCGGCCTGAGGGCGAGACTGCACTGAACATGCTCAGTCCTCCTGGGGCCCTCCCTGCCTGCGCTCACATCAAGGGGCCGTGGGTGACAGGGGCGTCCTTGGTGGAGGCGGAGGCAGAGAAGCACATGCCTGCTCTGGACGACACAGGGCCCCACAGTGTGGGGATCGGGCCTGATGGGCCTCTCTTCCCACAGAGGACACTGCACCCCGTGACAGCGTTTCTGTGGGGCTGGCACTCAGGGGGCTGGGAGACAGAACGCGTCTGCTGAACCTCCTGGTGGCCCGGCTCCGGCAGAAGGTACGGTCACTCAGCAGGCTAGAGGGTCTCTAACTACGGAGCGGTCTGGGAAGGGCCGCTGCTGGGACCTCCTTCATGCTGCGTGGCATCTCTGCGCCCGCTTCCCGGCAGGGAGATGGTAACTGTGGCCCCATGGACAGACGGAAGGGCCCTCTAGCCCGTGCCAGTCACAGCAGGGAGGTGCACCCCGTGGGGCCTCACGGCTGCTGTGCTTTCCAGGCACCGTTCCACGGTGACCGACACACGACCATGACCGCCCGGGGACGGACGGAAATCACAGGTGGTTCGATCTTCAAGGAAAGTGACCGCCTCCACCTCAAAGTGCTTTTTGTTTATTTTTTATCTATTTGTTTTTTGAAGATTTTATTTATTTTTAGAGAGGGGGGAAGGGAGGGAGAAAGTGGGGGAGAGAAACATCAATGTGCAGTTGCCTCTTACTTGCCTCCTACTAGGGACCTGGCCCACCGCCCAGGCCTGTGCCCTGACTGGGAATCGAACCTCCGACCCTTTGGTTTGCAGGCCTGTGCTCAGTCCACCGAGCTACATCAGCCAGGGCACGTGTTTATTTTTTAATTAACAGTGTCTACCAAACAATCACCTTTAGTGTGTGTGTAACACAACTATGAGGACTCAGTGTCCATCAGGACTTTACTTCAGGGTCCCTATACTTGGTCCTGCTGAGCATGTGGCAGGGAGGGAGTCGAGGGTCTTTCTAGGTGCCCACCCTTGTCCCTCCAAACATCAGGAGGACAGCAGACATCGGGCAAAGGCAGGGAGGCTGCCCGGGCTCCACACAGCCGTCTGCTGTCCCCAGCCTTCCGCCCACCTCTGTCCACGCCTGCTCCCAGCCCCCGGCCCCCTTTTCAGAGCCGAGCCTTCCCGCCCGATGCCCTCCCTGGGGCCTGTGTTCCCGAGACTGTTTCCCTCGGGCCAGGCTCAGGTGCTGGGCTTCAGGCCCCACTCCGCCCAGATACCTCCCAGCAGGCATAGCCTCTCCCCCAGGCGCTCCCTGGCCCCGTGCGGACAGGTGGGACAGGTCCCCGAGACCAGGCCAGGTGGGCTGGAGGGCAGCCGCCCAGGTCTCAGGGAGGAGCACCTTAAACAGATGAGAGGAGATCCTGAGGGCCGTGTGTCCCATCGGATTTTCCTGAACCTTCCGCCACCCACCTCTGCTGCTGTTCCCCAGCCCCATCCATGGTGGTGGCCTTCTCCTTCCTCACGGTGCCTCTGACGGGCCCCCAGGTACCGCAGGAGCCTCTGGCGGTGGACGCCGTCGTCCAGTGCGCGCTGCCCCACGAGGTGGACCAGGTGCACCTGGAGGTGCTGGAGCTGCAGAGGCAGGTGGCTGAGCTGGAGAAGCACCTGGGGACAGCGAGACAGGGAGGCGGGGAGCCTCCGAGCAGGCGGCAGCTGCGCGGGCCCCATCGCACGGCCCCAGGGAGACAGGTGGGTGCCCTGTGCTGGCCTTGGATCCTCCCGGCTGCTGGCTGTCCTGGGTCTTGCTACAGAGGGCGCCCTGGAGGCTGCCCACCTCCCTCCCTGCCACCTGTCTAGCTTGCTCTCCCTCTCTGTGCACATGCTGCTGGGGGGCCAGGGCCAGCCTCACTCCTCTGGGTCTTCACGACCTACCCTCGGGTCAGAAGCCAGGCACAGGGAACCTGTGCCTGTGCCCAGGGCTGGCCTCTGTCCTCCGAGCAGGAGTTCCGAGGCCCTGCAAAGCCTTGAGGCCATGTGCTGACTTGGGGTTCCCTTCAAGAGGATCCTGTAGTTCCCATAAGCTTCTCAGCGTCTGAGACAGGGCCACTTGTGCAGGGGGCGGGGCTCCCACCCTGGGCCTGGCCGGGCCCCGCCCTGCTGCCCGTCCACTCCAGCCCATGGGTTCCAGCTGCAGAGCCTGCTGCCCCCCAGTGGTCCAGCCAGGCCAGGCCACCTTTCCTCTTACTGAAAGCACCTTTTGATGTGCCTCCTGAGACCTCTGTCAGTTCCCATGGTGGCCTCTGGTGACCTGCTCATTAGGGAAGTGCATTAGGGACTGTGAAATGATATCTGGCAGGTGCTGGAAGTTCTCCAGTAGGCATAGGAGCCGAGGACAACACAGCCACCTACCTTCACGCAGCCCCAGTGGCTCTCATCCCAGGGCCAGGTTTTGAGAGTGGGACTGAGGGACAGGTGCCAAGACTGCCAGTGCCAAGAGGGTTGGGCGGGGGGAAGATCTCTTGTCTGGTGCGTTGCCTGCTCAGGGGACCCCAGGACTGGAGTGGGGGGGGCAGTGGGGGGGGTGCGATGCTGGCCTCTGTGCAGTCAGGACAAGTGTGTCCCGGCCCCCCAGGGCGAGCCCTGGCCCAGCAGGTGCTCTGTCCACAGCTGCCCATGTCCACTGCGTGTCCCTGGCACTACTAGGCGCTCAGTGCCAGGGGGAGCCCTTGAGCCCCCGGTCGCATGCCCACCTCACTTGTCTGGAGTGAAGGGAAAGGAGTCATGCTGGAGAGCAGGGCTAGACTCGAGCGGGTGCCCCACAGCCGGTGGGGACAAGCCCCAGGCCCTAGTTCTGCACGCGGTGGTCGGAGTCTCGTGCTGCCCTAAGTCTGAGCCCCCTGTGACCTTGGGGAAGGCTGTTCTGGGTGAGAAGGCCCAAGCGCAGGAGACCCGGGGGCCAGTCCCCTCCCCCACTCCCCTGAGCAGGCCGTCCAGGCTGCCGTGTGTCTGTGGCTGGGGCACCGGGAGGGAGGACAGGGCTCCAGGAGCTGTGCCACGCGTGTCCAGACGGGGCTCTCAGTCTCCCGCTCTCTCGGGAGGAGCCAGGGAGAGTGTCGGGTTCCAGCATGGGGACGTGCAGGGGACGGGAGTGGGGGAATGATGGCCCGACTCACCTGCTGACCAACAGAGCGTCCTGCCCTCACCCTCTGCCCACCTGCTGGTCGCTCAAGTCTTCCTTCCTGCAAGCAACAGCACTGGCAGTGTCCACTGGGGGGCAGTGTCTGCTGTCCATCCCCTGCTGGCTCTTTGGGAAGCTGGGGACCTGCTCAGGGGTTTGACACACAGCGTGACCGGCCGAGAGCTGCCAGCCCAGCGCTGTGCCCTCTGCACCCCCTCGTCTGAGCTGGTGTCCTCGCTGGCCCAGGCCCCGATCTCCCTGGGGCTGCCACGTGCTGCCCCACAGCGTGAAAACCATCGAGATGCCTCAGCAGGCCACGCTCTCCTTGCTTCCCCGGCATTTTCCTTCCTTCCCACAAGGCAGGTCTGGCCCTGAGCCAGCGAGTGAGTGGGGCAGCAGTGTGGGCCCGAGCGCTTGTGAGTGGCTCCTGAATGTGTCTGCTCATTGTTAGCATTGCACCGTCACTAGGGAGACACGTCAGAGCCACCAGGCACAGTAATCTCCCCAGGAGCCCAGCTCCCCTCACTGTGTGGCCACAGAGACCAGACCCTGGTGTTCAGACCGGAGGCCTGGCAGCGTTGCTGCCTTTCTCGTACCCGGGGGACATCGGGGGTGTCTCCTCTTAAACCCCTAAGGACCCTGAGATTGCGAAGCCTGTTTTCTTTCCTCACTTGAAGAAACACAGAGTCGGACAGTGTGTTCCTGGGCAGGACTGGGCCTTGGGCATGGACTCTGGCCAAGTTCTCACCTCTGGACTGGCCGCCCTGGCCGAAGTGCTTGGAAGGCCATGACCAATGCACATGCACAGGCGGTTCGGTCAGCGTCGGGGGCACGTGGGGCCCCTCGCACCAGCCTGCTCTGGGCTCTGGCCTTCAGGCCTGCCCTGACCTCTCTGTCAGCCCGGGGCCCGGGGACGCAGGCGACCCAGCCCTGGCCACCTCTGGGCCACTCAGGCCTGTGGCACCTGCCAGCACCAGGGCATTGGCTGTGGCACCGGGGCCACCTGAAGAGGGGCGCTGTGAGGGCGGATGTCTGCCAGGCCCTCAGAGGGGAGAGGGGTCAGGACAGGGCGTGCTGGCCTGCTCCAGGGACACAGAGCAGGTTCCTTGTGCCTGCGCCAGGCCATGTGGCCCAGACGGGCACACTGGAGCTTTTCTCAGGTGCCGGCAGCTAAGTAGGCCACCTGTTTCCCTCAGGGCCTGGGGCCGCTCTGACCCCTCCTGGGCCTCTGCCCAACACAGAGGCAGGTCCCTCTTCCTTTCCCTTGTTCTCCAGGGCCTCCCACGGGATCACGTGTCCCTGGAGGAGCCATGGGGTGTCCAGGTCAGGATGACAGATGTTAGTGGGGTCGGGACTGGAGGGGCTCAGACCCCAAGTGTTGTCCCCAATGCTCCCACCATGCCCTCTGCTTTCCCTGCCCCTTTGTCAGGGTGGTGGAGAACCTGGGCTCGCCCACCATGCCAGAGGGGAGTCAGAGGCCAGGTGGACAAAGTGCCCGAGCCGTGGGGCGAGGAGCCTGGGAGGGGCCCAGGAGCACGGCTGAAGGCAGAGTGCAGGTTGTGAGGGAGACTGGGGAGAGGGGGTGGGGCCCGCAGCCCCCCGGGTCTCTCCCAGCTTCTGCCAGGCTACGGCCACCCAGAGGGTCCTGTCCCAGGCCCAGCCCTCATGGGTCCGGGGGTTGCTGGGGGAGGCCAGGTGTGGGTGTTGGCTGACTCCTCACTGTCCTCACTGAGAAGGCACTCGGTGGGGGAGGACAGGGACCCAGGGTCAGGGCTGGGGGGATTGGGTGCAGAGGGACCCGGCGCCCCACCTGGGACAGGCGCACCTGCAGGTGCTATCGCCGGGGGCTAGTCTGGGACACCAGCACCCCCTCCCCTCCTCCGCCCCTGGGGGCCTGTCTTACACCCCTGTGGGTTTCCTTCACAGGTCCCGGCAGCTGGGGGACCCTTGGGGACCGGGGACACTGGAGCACCGCCCCCACAGGCCCCCTCGGTGCAGCAGCTCCAGCGGAAACTGAAGGAGGCGGCCCGGACGGCCCTCCGCCTGCAGCTGGAGAAGGAGCAGCTGCTGGAGCTGGGCAACCGGCTCCGCGCCCAGCTGGGCCGGCCCGCAGGTGAGCCCGAGGTCCTGGGGGCGCCGGGTCAGGTAGGAGAACATGAATGGCCCCCACGTGGGCGGACATGGGTCCAGAGACGAGGGACTTTGTGAGTCCACTCACTGGCCACCATCGTGAGAAACGCTGCTGGTCTGTGATGCTGGCCACAGGGTCCAGGCTGGCACGGCCTCCGTACCAGAGGTGCCAGGGCAGGCAGGGCCTGTGCTGTGGTCTCGCAGGCCTGTCTCCATGGGTGCTGCTTCCAAAGAAAGGCTGCAGCAGTCTCTCATCACTCTGCTGTCGAGACTTTATGTTTGTTTGTTTGTAGAGAGAAGGGAAGGGAGGGAGAAAGAGGGAGAGAAACATCAGTGTGTGGCGGCCATCTCGTGTGTCCCCCGACCAGGGACCCGGCCTGCAACCCAGTCATGTGCCTCGACTGCGAATTGAACCTGTGACCTTTCACTTCTCCAGACACGGTTCAACACTGGCCCCCACTGGCCAGGGCGCTCTCTTAAAAAAGACCGCGTGGCCCTGGCTGGGTGGTTCGTTTGGTTGGAGCGCCCTCTCCCAGACAGGAAGGTCATGGGGCTGCAGGAAGGCAGCCCATCGATGTGATGGAAAAATGTCCTGGTGCAGATGAGCACAAGTAGAGGATGCGCGCAGGACCGGCCCCGCTGCCGTGCGGGCACTAGTGGCGCCGCCCCAGCCTCACGCCCACTCCTGCGCAGGCGCAGTCTGGTCCAGGACTCCGCCCCCCGGCCCTGCTTCTCCTGGGCACCGACCCAGGTCCCCGCATCTCGGGTGGCTTCTTCCTATCCATCGTTTTCGAGTTCCTGAGGACCCCAGTGTGCAGGGCCTTGTCGATAAGACTCTGAAGCCGTCCCCTCGCTCCTGCCCATGGCCCGAACGCCAGCCACTCAGGGTCCTTCTCAAGGCAGAGCACCCGGCAACCGCGGTGCGGGTCGGGGAAGCGGCTCCCCTGGCAGCCCCCGTGACCGCAGGCTCGGAAAACCGTCCCAGCAAAACAGGACCCAGTTCCAGACCCGGTGACAGTTTCCACAGTGCAGTTGACAGGCAGTTTGTGTATTTCTGTGATGCAGCCCATCAAGGTGACAGCCGGACTCGTGACGGGGAACCCGTGCCAGGACACGGCGGGTTTCTCGGAACTCCACGCACTCTCTGGGCACTGGGCGTGCACACTCAGGAGGAAGCCTGGCGCTGCTTCCCGTCTGTGGACGCCCCCCCTGCCCTTCAACACTCGGCGAGCCCAACGGCACCCCTTCCTTCCGTGAAGAGAGGAGACGGTTCCAAAATGTTCTAGAGTTTTCTGGGAACCGTCAGGGCTCCTTCAAGTTAAAAAACTACAGTGTTTGATATTTGGGAAGCTCGTAGAAACGCTTGGTCAGACAGGCCGAGGTGTCGCTGTGAGTCAGGACGTCCCAGCCGCCGGCTAAGGCAGGGGGCAGAGCCCCCCGAGACTCAGGAGGCGGGGGAGCAGTCAGGTCTACGCCCCGTCCTGCACAGAGCAGCGTTTTGGTAGGACACACGATCTCGCTTTCCGAGTAGATCACTTAAAAAGTAGAGTGATGTTCACTATCTATCATCCAAAGCAAACCAGAAGTTCAAGGAAACTGTCTTTTTAACAGAAAGAGAAAGCCAGTGTTAATTTTAAACCAGTGAACTTTTGGTATTCAAATTCTATTTAAAATAACTGTATTTTAATCTTAGCTTGACCATGCATAAAATCTCTTTCCAAAGATTTCTTTTTCACAGACTTCCTGTGCATTTCTTTTTCACATTCACATTCTGTTCTCTCCTCCTCACATGGGGCTTCAGGGCAAATTTCTTTCCCCTCACAAAGGCGTTTTCATACCTCAGACCTTGCTCACTGAAACACACTCTGCCTTCCTAGCAGGAAGGAAGATGTTTCCCTTATTACTTCTGTAGCTTCGATCACACATGTTACTTAGAACATTTAACCCTTAAAGATCTTAATGCCCAGTGCGCACTCGGAAGCAGGTGGCTTCGACCTGTCCCCACGGTCCTGCTGCACGAACCAGCAGGCGCACAGGTGCCTTCTGACCTCCAGAAATGTGCTTCTTCGTGAAAACCAAAACCTAACAGAGCTCCACCCACCGGCCGGAACGCCTCCCGTCCGTCCGTCCAGTGCTGAGTGTGCTGCTCGCTCCCCTGGTCGGGAAGCGACAGAGACTGGCAGTGAGTGCCCGCCGTGCGCTTTCGCCCGAAGCGAGGCCCTCGGGGTGCGTGTTACCCAAGAGACTCTGGGCACCGCTTCAGCAAACACAGGCCGTTGCGAAAGGGCCCTCCACTCATCTCTAGTCCATCGCTTCAGTTTGTTTGCTTTTCATAATCGCCCTGGGGTGACTCATGGGGACTTTACCTCAGTGGTCCTCAACCTATTTGGCCCCGAGAGTCGGTTTCACAGAAGAGGGTTTTTCCACGGGCCAGGCGGGGGTGGGGACAGGAGGGAAGCTCAGGCAGTAGAGCCAGCTTGTCTGCCGCTCACCTGCTTCCCCGAGGCCCCGTTCCTGGAACAGGCCACTGACCGGTCGTGTGTGGCCTGGGGGATGGGACCCTGCCTGATGAGATATTAGACAAAGTCAGCTATTACCCCAGGTTGTATTTCTCCTTTTTCAGGAAACACTTTATTTATTTATTTATTTATTTATTTATTTATTTATTTATTTATTTATTTTAGAGAGAGGGGAAGGGAGGGAGAAAGACAGGGAGAGAAATGAAACATCAGTGTGTGGTTGCCTCTCATGGGCCCCCTACTGGGGACCTGGCTGCAACCCAGGCATGTGCCCTGACCGGGAATCAAACTCACAACCCTTTGGTTTGCAGGCCGGTGCTCAATCCACTGAACCACACCAGCCAGGGCTATATTTCTTAAAATTAAAAAAAAAAAAAAGATTTTATTTATTTAATTTTAGGGAGAAGGGACAGGAGGGAGAAAGGGAGAGAAACATTAATCAGCTGCCTCTTGCGTGCGCTCTGACTGGGAATCAAACTGGTGACCTTTCGGTCTGTGGGGCGACACCCAACCCTTTGAGCCACCCAGGCCAGGGCCGGGTCGTCTCTCTTGAGGACACATTTCGTAACAGTGATAACATGAAGTTGCTTGGTTAACGACTGAGGCAGTGCCCCCGCTCGCCCTCCCCAGCTCTTGGACTGTGGCCGGAGGAGGAGCCACAGGGTCATCTGGAAGGGCAGTCCCCTCCATCAGCCTGCAAATGAGGAGCAAGGCCCCCAGTTTTGTCTGACTGGAGTGTTAGGCCCCCAAAGGACGGTTCCCAAGCCAGGCTCACAAAACGAACTCATGATTTCTAGGTTGGGACTTCTCTAAAAAAAAAAACAAAAAACCACTTTTTCAGTTTAGGTGGTTTTCCCACTTGAAGGATTTATGTCAATAGTGACTCAAACCAAGAAGCCTTTTGTGGCTTCACCGTGGACACGAACATCCCAAAGAAAGTGGTGCCCGCAGTGTCCACAGCCTCCGAGAGTGGGAGGTGCCTGCAGCCACGAGTCCAGCGACCCACAGCCCCGCAGGCTCCCCTGGACTGGGGTCGGGGGGTCCCTTGTGCCGCTCCCCTGAGAGCAGAGGCGCTCCCAGCCCAGGTCTGCTCAGCTGGCCACCAGGTGCCCCCGGGGAGCTCACCCTCCAGATGGTGGGGACCAGAAGAGCTGTTCCCCCGGTCACAAAGGCCTGCTCTCAGGACCGCGTGACCACAGAGACAGAGCAGCGGCGTCCCCATCTCCAGGAACGGAGGCGATCGGTGGGGATGGGGACGGGGACAGGAGTGCCGTCACTGACCTAGACACAGAGGGAGAAGACGACTTTGGCACTTTTTCTCCCCCTGGGTCCCGGAGCCCCAGGTCCGCGAGGCCAGGGGGCAGAGGCTGCCGGTCCCAGAGGCCACGCCCTCCTGGGAAGCGCCCACCATTTGAGGTTATTCCGGCTGGAGCAGTAATTAAATTGACTCAAGACAGATCAAAGGGAGAAAAAGATAATTTAATTTGTACATGAGGAGGCCTCGCAGAAATGAGACCTAAAGACATGACCGAAGCAGATGGCTTTTCCACTTTTTGAGAGCCCCTGAACTCATGGGGCTCTGACGAGACAAACCCGGCCTACCTCTGTGATAAGGAGGCAGTTCCTGCCTCCGGGGACACGGGGGGGGGGGGTCTCAAGTGTGCGAAGGGGCCCTGTGGGAAGCAGCCTCGTAAACCCCTGGCCGGACAGGTCCAGGGGAGTCAGCCCAGGCTTGCGTCTTCTTCCTGGAGAGGCCGGCCTTCGGCCTCTGCCCGCCCTGCCCACCGTCCCTGTGCGTCCAGGGAGCTGCTCAGGGGCGAGCACATTCCTGTGGCCTTCCTCACATGCCCCCTTGACCGCGGTGCGGACAGGCCTTCTCGCCAGCTGTGGGAGCCCGCTGCTGTCAGCGCGGCTCAGATAAGTGCAGACACGCTCCCCCACGGGTGTGGGCACTTCTCACGGCAGGAGCACGTGTCCGGCTGGTGCGCCCCTGGCCAGGGCCGCCCTCCCGCCGCTGAGGCACTGCAGGCATTAGATGCCCACCTCCTGAGGCTCCTGCCCCCAGGCCCCAGGTCCCCTGCCTGTCTGTGGGCCCCGGGCCCCAGCGACCAGCCCGACCAGCCCGCAGCCCGCTCTGGAGGTGGGGAGACTGCAGCTGGTGCTCTCTGGTCCTGGCGCCTGTGTTAGTGGTGGGTTTTCTTTGCATTTCTTCTATGACAAGTTGTCTGTGCCGGCCCCCCCCCCTCCGGCCGTCGTGACCGCCTGCACTCTGGTGAGAAAGCCCGTTCTCTCCGTCCAGCCTGCGGAGCGCTCCCCTAGGCGACACGGAGCGGCCCAGGCTGCTGTCCCCCGGGCGCCGCCCCTCCTTCCTCTGGGCCCTTCCACAGGCCATCAGGTGGGATCGGCGGGACTGCCTCCCACAGCACAGCTTGTCTTTGCAGCGGGAAACACCCCCGAAGTGTGACGAAAAGAGAAACAGCGATCAGCCGCCTTCCGTACACACCCCGACCTGGGGCTGAATCGCAGCCCAGACTGGGAATCAGCCACTGACCTTTCTGTCCCTAGCACAGTGCCCAGCCCACGGAGCCACACCAGGTGGGACCAGAGATGACAGATTGTAGGGCTGCCGGCCAGGGCGGAGGCGTAGGTAGATACATTGTGCCTCTTCGCACACCTGAGAGAAGGACAACAACAGATTTAAAAACAGGAAAACTGCCCTGGCTGGTGTGGCTCAGTGGACTGAGCACCGGCCTGTGAACCAAAGGGTCACTAGTTCAATTCCCAGTCAGGGCACGTGCTTGGGTTGCAGGCCAGGTCCCCAGTAGGGGGCGCATGAGAGGCACCCACAGGCTGTTTCTCTCCCTCTCTTTTTCCCTCTTTTCCCCCGCTCTCTCTGAAATAAGTAAAATCTTTTAAAAAGTAAAAAGCAGGCAGGAAGAGACGTTGTTCTAGGAACAAGGGTGGGTGGGCTGTGTCCTTCCCGGGCCGTGGGGTCCTGGGCAGTGGGGGCCGTCTGCGTGCACTTCCCGAACGCGTGATGGCGGGCCCTGGGGGCCCTGCGAGTCCCGTGTCCCGCGGGGGGTGCTCCTGTCCAACAGCAAAGTGGGGCAGCTCCTCGTGCTGGCCCACGTCCCCTGTGTCTGCCCGCCCCCGGCCGGGACGGGCTGAGGGCCAGCCTGGCCTGCGGACTGCTCCTCGGCCTCCGGCCTGGACGTGCCACCGGAGCAACGCTCGGCCGGCACACGAGTGTGTTTGAACCAGCAAGGGACACACCGAAGAGGGAGTGTGTGGCCCCTCGTGTTCCCGGCAGAGACAGCACGGTCGGGCGGGCCGCGGGGCAGGAGGGAGCGCCCCACGGTGGTCAGCAGAGCCGGGTGCTGCCCCGGAGCCGCCGGCCCTCCACCCTGCGCCCTCCGTTCTGCAGGGAGGCGGCCAGTTGAGGTCCACAGACGGGTGCGAGGGCTTTGGGCGAGACCCTTCTGTCGTGAGTTCTGTGTCTGCAGTCTCAGGGACAACCCACTGGGACCGAGCATCTTGTCACTGTTTAACAGCGTTAAAAACAGAAAATGTGCAGCCAAAGGCAGGTCCCACGCACCCTGCGCTGTTTCCAGGCGGGCTTCTCTGCTCCCCAAACCCCGGGCCGCCCCCAACGCTACCACAGTTCCAAGCACCAGGCAAGGCCAGGCAAAGCAGACCCCGGGTTGGCCTGTCCTCGCCTGTCTGCCTCTGGGTGGGGCCTCTCGGGACAGCTGGAGGGCTCCTGTGCCCGCCGCACCCTCCAGCTCAGGTCCCGGTCTTCGGGTCCGCATCCCAGATGGGCAGAGGGCACCTGTGGGCCACAGACCGGGGTCCCTCGGAGGAGGAGAGCTGCCTGCGAGCGTGACCCTTGCTTCTCGCTTCCCTCTGCTGCTTTAGGGAGGGTGCGCTTTCAGGCTGGTTTGTGAACGTGCTCCTCCGCCACGGCAGTGAGCCTGGCAAGGGCCTGTGTGTCCGTGGGCACTGCCGGGCTGTGCCCACGCGCCCCGTCCTCTTCCAACCCTGCTGTCTGACAAGGTCCGGGCACGGAGGATTCGAGTTCAAGGAATTCGTCTCCCCGGAGGAGAATGTGGCATCCCAAATGGGTTAACAATTATCACTTTTATTTTAATTATTTTACTCTTGCTACTGAATATAGACGTTGAGCTGTACTTACTCATTCCTGTGAAAATCACCAAAGAGGAGGGAACAGTTTAGGGGAAAACATAGTATCCCCCACGGAACTGCCTGAAAGGAAGAAAAATCTCCACAGACTCCCCTCTCCCTTGTACAGGGGAGTACGACAGCCAGGGTGATATAGTTGTTAACCATAAGGGAAAACATGTCAAGTTGTATAAATTACCCTGGTCTGAGCAACTTAAGGCGATCAGGACCGCCATAGTGTACCAGAAATAAGAAAAACAAGTTACATGTTTGTTTGGGTGATCAAAAGGTGGTGGAATTGTTAGACATTTATATTTCAGGTTGATTGATTCGCACAATTCCAATGAAGTTGTACAAAATAATTTCTTGACCAGAGAACAAAGTTCCCTCTAATGAAATAGTCCCTAAATGTTTAGAAGTTGTTGAAGTAACAGCCCCTCCTTTACCTTGAATAAGAATATGTGTCAATTGGACAGGCAAAGAAACTTAAAAAGGGCTGGTTAACTATTACAAACTAAACACATAGAAACAGTTACTAGAGAGTCAGTTTATAGCACACAGAGAAACATTTTAGACAGAAAAGGCTAGATAGCTAAGACATCACAAAGGCCTTATAATAAATCTCCTATTACCTCTACTCAATCTAGCGTAATCTCTTGCCCCGTGACAAATTCTGAGAAACTTTAATAAACATTAAGACATTTAAATTCTGTACATAAAGCTACTTCTAATT